CGTACAATAAATAGTCCTTCGCTACGCTCCGGACAATAAATAAAATAATTATATCGATTATATTAAATATAATTAATATAATAAATATAATAAAAATAATAGGCTAAGTAGGCTGCAGCTAGATCGGCTTGGCACAGTTGGGCACAGTAGATCCTAATTTTCCACATGATCTTCTGGCGCAGTAAGTTGTAACTCTACACGTGACTAGGGGTAACAATGTAATTTATTTATTTTTTTAAAAAAAGTAATTAGTATTATTATAATTTAGCTTTGAAAAAATGTTTAAAGCTTATAATAATTTTTTTTTAGTTAGATTTTATTAATATTTTTTTAATTACAATACATTTATAGATTTATTAGTACAGGAAATTAGCCAAAAATTATATTAAATAAATATAAATTAAGCTATACTAATATTATTAATTTATGAACTATTTGTTATTTATATTAAAACTTATTTTGATATAGTAATTCTTGCAGTTAAAGGATTTGGCTAGGTTTTACCTTTATGTATTTTCTGGGATTCTAATAAAATATTAACTTTTGTATTTTTTATAGTTTGTATATTCAATTTTCTATTGATTTTACTTTAATATAATTGAAATTTAAAAATTTTTAGTTAGAAAAAATTAGATTATAATAAAAGAGCAGATTTACTGGTTTAATAATATTAAAATAGCAATTAAATATTTTTTTAATTAGATGCAAAATAGGTTAAAATAAAAATATACTTTACTTTATAGATTTGAATTCAAATATTCTTATTTTTGGCTAATAATATTTTTTATTATAATTACTTCAACTAATCAGTAAATGATGTTATATGAAATATTACTTAGAGATATAACAGGATATTTTACAAAATATGTAAGATAATTATCTAATTCATCATCTATTTTGGAATCAAATATCTATTTTATTGTTTAGTAAATTATTAAAGAAAGGGTTTTTTCATGATTAGCAGATTACAAAATATAAATAAATTGGAAGATGGTATACTTTATTCTTCTTAAATGTTTAGAAGTTTGTAAGAAACCAAGATCTGATATGGAAAGTTAATATATCAACTATATCAACATGTAAAGATATGGTTGCATGATAAGATGTTTGTATGTTACAGATCTTTTTATTATATTATGTTGATTGACCTAACTAGAATGAAAAAGCCAATATAACTGGATGAGTGGAGTTGGTATGCTTCAATTCATTAACAAATTTGACCTGATCTGGAGAATTCCTTTGGGACTTTATAAATGAATCCAAAAAAGTAAGGAAGCTATCATAAAATGGGAAGATGCACATGTATGGCCTGCGTTAGCTTTTTTAAAAAATGAAATCTAATTTCAGATGGTATATAAGAAATGCTGAATTATTTCAATAAATTACTTGGGTAGTTTAATGAGATTATAAGCAACTTCTTCATGACACCATCAATAAGACATCATACTTGCCTCCTTGTATTTGTTGAGTGTCCAATAAATATTCTGATCATTGGACACTTATGTGGCATGTATTACCTAATTTTTTCCAATGCATTTATGGAAATTGTGGAAATTGCCTTATGTAAATATATCTAGATCGATCCACTTATCGAAAGTCGAAACTAACTAATAATATAATTTGATTTCCGAGTTTATGAAAACGTCATATATCTCACCAAAGAAATCTTACACAATGACATTTAATGCCGCCTAAGTGCTATCACGTGATATAAACCAATAATTTTTAAGAAAAAAAAAATTTCATTTTATAAACTTTCTAAATTGAAAGAGAGAAGACATGCATGATTTACTATTTATTCCATAATTTTTCATATGAATTAAATAAATAATAATATTATTATGTGATAATTTTGACAAATATTGTTCTATTATGCTTTGTTTATAACTAAGTCCCAATTAATTACAATCTAAATAAAATTTTATAATATTTAAGAATAGGTTTTTAGTTACTGAATTATATCTATAAATTATTTTGAATTTTGAAAACATCCCAAGCATCATTTAGTGCAGAAAATATACCATTTGCTAACAATCTTTGTTCTATTGTGGTTGCTGAATTTAACTAGAAGAAATAAATTCATGTTAGTACAGTCTTTATAGAAAATCAAATCAAGAAAGAATAATAATATGAGAATATTAACCTTGTCTGGATGCACTTTAGCAATAGCTTTTATATATCTAATTTTAACTTGTGAAGATGTTACTAATTCATGTAACCCTATTGTCTTCCATCCAATTCCGTCCCATAAAACAACATCAAGACTACTTATTAAAGCTCTAAGATTTGTCTCTTTGCCTCCTTTCCATTGCATTATCTTTTGATCAACGTGATCTTTCAACCTAAACCTTTCTGCATCTTCAAGTTCTTGCTGTCGAGCTTGATCACGTAATCTAACGACGGCTGGATTATTTGGATCAACATAAGTCGAAGACGTTGACGTGGACGATGTAGGATCAATAAATCCAAATGCGTTTAGAGGCACTCCAAATGTACTCTGAGATGTTGATTGTGTGGGCACCGAAGTATCGAACATGAACTCATTAAAGTCGTATTGATTTGATGACTGATTCGATGATATTAGAGGAGAATCATTTTCATCCTTAATTTCTGATTTACTGTCTGTCGCCATTTTTATAGCTTTTTGGCACCGTCTTAATCCGTCACTTACACTTTTGCCAATACCTGGATCAGCGTTAATCAACTTTTGATAATCATCTTTTGCGCTATCATATTTCTCCATGGTTTCATAAGCAGAGGCTCGTCGAAGTAATGCTTTAGTATATTGATCCTTTAAATTAATTGCTACTCCAGGTGGCGGGGGTAACGTATAATCATCAATTAACTGAAGTATTAGAGTACAGTCTTCCACACATCCACGATGATCACCATTCTTCAATTTAGTAGCTGCTCGATTATTATATAAAATAGCACGTAATAAATGCTTAGTTGGAAGAGAATCTACAGCCAAAGAATAAAATTTTTCTGCTTCACCAAATTGACCAAGTTTAAACAATTCATTTCCTTTTGCTTTATGAGCCTCAGATTTATTTAGTTGTTCAGGCGAAACATGAACCACAAGTCTTGGAGGTTTTGAAGGTGTTACACGGGTTGGAGAAGAGTTGCGAACAGGTTTTTGAGAAGGCGGACGTCGACGAGCAGGTGAGATATAAGCTGAATCCGATGAATTCACATCTGGCTTTGTAGACCGTGAAGGTACAGCTGGCTTCGGTGGTTTTTTTGATTCGTTCTGATGCAAAGAACGGTAATGATCTTCATTACTTTCTTTAAGCTTAGAATTTATTGAAACAAATGTATTTCGTCCTGACAATATGTCATTATCACTATCTTTAAGTTTTGATGAGACCGGTATAAATTTATTTCGACCAGGATTTGGTAGCTCATCATCACTACTGTCCTTTGTTTTTGAAGAAACGGAAACGAATCGATTCCTCCCAGGTATCTGATGATGATAATCATCATCATCGCTGCTGCTATCATCATAACTATCCTGAAATTTTTCTTCAACCTTAACATTTGGAAAATCATTATACCCGGATTGAAAATCATTATTTTGCATCCATCTAGGTCTTCTGCTACTATCCTCCTCAGAATCTGGTTGTTGTAAATCTTCCAGCGCCTTATTCACCACTTCTTTTGATTGCTTATAAAAAGCACTTGCTTTTTTGAAAGCATGTATTCCAAATTCACTTGCAGTAGAGATAAGTTTTTCTTTTTGCTGTAAAAAATTAGATGATACTGACGACGAAGAACGATCACTACTTTCTCCATCAGAAACACTTATACCATAAACGTTTCGCCTCGGTACATTGAGAGTATGATTTTTTGACGAAAAACGTCCTTTCTCAATATAGCCATGTTCATTATCATCGTCTTCTCGATGAGGATAATCAGCAGTGTTTGATCTTCGACGTCCAAAGTCACTTTTTTGTTGTTTAGAAGTTTGATTCATAGACATATTATTCACAACTTCACGTTGTTGAAAGAGGATTTCAATAGCAGATGAAACATCATCGTCGTTATCTGTAACAGCCAACGCAGCTTCCGCCTCATCCGCTGAGAAACCCATATCGACAATTTGTGCAATAAGATGATCCTTCAATTCGTTTCTTGATGTTGAACTGTTATTAGAATTCCTTTCACTATGCGGTGAAGCATCTCTTTTTTCCGAAACTGGTTTTTCCAGTTCACCCAAAGGATTTTCATCATCCTCAGCATTAAGGATATCACTTTTTGCCGAAATTGGTTTTGCCAGTTCACCCAAAGGATTTTCATCATCCTCAACAGGAATTGATGATGAAGAATTATTTTGTTTTTCAAAAATTCCAAAATCCATTAAATTATTATTTGCTGCTGCTGAAGAAATCTAAGATTTTAAATAGAAATTAGTAACTTGCAAATAAAAATATTAATAATCCAAAAAATCATCGTTTGCACCTTATTGTTATTTGTATTGTTGGATAAAAAGTTCAAATCCCACTGGGTTTCCTCAGATGAAGGCTTCCTAATTAATTTGTAATGATAATTTGAGTTAATTATATCATGGATATCAATAAATAAGGGAAAGGTAAATATTACATACATCTGACTACTTGAATTTCTGGATATCGATTCAGAAGTTCCGTACTGATTTGCTCCCAACAAAATATCATCAAATATATCTCCGGTTGGTTGCCGAATTCCATTATTCCCTGATGAATTTGAACTTTTACCTTCTAAAGAATCCCAAAAATGTGATTGGTCATAATGTTCTCTTAATTTTTCATTCTCTTCTTGTAATTTACGTTGTTGTTCTTGTTCTTGTAATTTACGTTGTTCATCCAAAGATAAATTTGTCGGTTTCTTATTAAAAAGTAAAAAAGTATCATCCAATGAATCTGTACTATTATTGTTGGAAAATGATGTTAAGCTTGGTGAAATATGTGGTGATCTATTGTTCGGAGAATTTGAAGAATAAATTTTCGTTCCACTTGTAGATGATGATGAAAAATTTTGATTATTAACAGAAGTATTTGAATCAGAATTATTAATTTTATTTAATCTTTTAAATACAGGTGAATTAGCATTTATAGCTTGAGAAATAAAAATATTTTGATCAGATGAATTAACTGTTGTAGTTTGTTTGATTGGTGGTGTAGGAAATGTTGTCGAATTTTTTGATGAAAGTTCTGTTGTACCTCTCATTGCATTTAATGGAGTATTGTTATTTTTTTGATTCGAAGATCTATTGGATCCAGAACCCCAAATTAGTTCATTCAAATCATCCATAACTTAAAATGTAATATATAAATATATTTTTTTTTATTCGAATAATTCGATTATTAAAGTTCTAAAGAGAATAAATATTTGTAATTTTGGATTTTACTTTCTAATAAACTGTTATTAAGGTATGAAATTAAGTTATAATAATTCAATGTTAACTCAGATTAATATTTGTTATAGCCATAGAAATGTTAAAACTATATATATATAAAAAAAGAAAATGTAAAAAATTAATTGAGAAACATAAAAAAGCAATGAATAAAGCTTTATGTCGTGGCTAAGTCGTACAGAGTTAAAGCCACGTTTTTTGAATTCTAATTGGATATTTTTGATTAATCGTTTTATAAAATAGTAGAAAAATACGGGAAATTAACTACTCCAGTTACTCCGCTATTGTGCGTATCACGTGAAATGTTGTAATTGCATAGCCAGATTCTAAGCCTCAATTGAATTCAAGAATGGCCCAGAACGCTTACGCCTATCAACACGTGCTCTATTGAAATATACAGTCATTATACTAATATCAAATATACAGCTTACTTAATATATATATTTTTTTACTATTTTTTATAATATATAAAGTTAAGAAAAAATTTATCCAATAGCAAAACTTATGTTTCAGTTATTTACTAAAGTAATTTAGAATAAATTATAAACTATGCAAATTAGTATAGTTTGCAAGGATCCCACTTACTTATAAAATAGGTCACCCCTAGGCCTAAGGTAAAAATCATATATAAAATTCTTTGAAGATCCTACTATAAAAGGAAATTTTATATTATATTGTTATGATTTTTTTCCTTTTTAGCTAATTAACAAATAGAATTTAAGAAAAAAGTAAAGTAAAAATCATCAGTAAAGGGTCAATTTTCTATAGTGACTTTTATTATAAGTAAGTGGATCCTAGTTTGCATTATTTTAAATTATTTATAATTTGCAAGTATATAATAGTAATAAATTAATTTATTTTAATAAGTTTTAATATTAAAATATCAGTATAAATAATATTAAACCTTTACATAACGATATGTCAGGACCTATATAAAATTTTTAAAAAATATCATTATATTAAAGTTATTCTGATATTTATATATCCTTATATATAGTAGGAAAATAAAATTTTATTGGTATATCAAGTTTTTAATAATATATCGATATATCAAATATCAGTATATTAAGGTTAGACTGTACTTTTTCTATTAAAATAATTAATATTTTTATTATTAAATTATAATTAATAATTAAATAAGATATTTAAAATAATTGAATTTGTATAATTTTAAAATTTATTAAATAATTTTAGTAATTTTATTTCAAAATTAATATATATTTCTTATATATTTTATTATATTTTTATTATATTAAATATATGTTACTTTTTAAATCTTTTTAAAAGAAAATTGTATTCTGTTTTTTAAAATGGCAGTAATTTATTTTAGTATTTTATAAAATTATTAAATAAATGTTTAATTAATTTAATAGTTTATAAAATCTTTTATAATTTAGGAATTTTTATATTCTATAGATCTATAGTAATGGTAGTATTTTCAAACAATATTTGAATTATACTTTCCAGTAAAATAAAAGACATTGTTAAAATATTAGTAAAATCAATTATATCAGTTATAATTATTATTAATAAAACATATGAATTACAGTCAAAAAATTAATTCTGCTAGTAAGTATAATTTAAATATAGATATCACTATAATATTTAATAGTATAGATAGTATATATATTATTGCCAATAATATTAGAATATATTATAAATATTTTTTTTTATAATCTAAAGAATTTGAATATATCATCTAATTATTAAATTCCTTCATAAAAAGCATTTTTAGTTTATTCAATGAATTCATTCATGTTTAGTTAGCATAAGTTTTTATAGTATTTTCGATAAATAAAAAATTTAGGTTATAATTCTAATACTTCATTTTATTAGTTATATTAGCATGTATTTTTGTTAATTATTATAAGTTGCTTCAAAATTCAAGTGGATAACCAACTCTATTTCCAAATGTGATCTCAAAAATGAAAATTTCAGTAGGTAAATCTATTTAAAAACAGAAGAGAATGCTTTTCCTTCAAATTATTAAGAACTATAAGTACTTCTTTTTATAAAAAAAAATTTGCTTAAGAGTTTTCTAATAGCTTAAGAAATATGAGAATCTTGGTTGCCTTATTTTTAATTCAAAAAAATTCAAAAACCTGAGTTTCACAAATTAAAGAATAAAGAATAACCTTGAATTATTAAATTATTCATCTCAATTAAGAAGACCATTATATATTGTTAATGTCTTAACTGTTTGTCTTACTTTATAGTTCTCTAAGTAAAATATACAGTATAAAAATGTATGATAACTGTTCGAAATTATTATTTTCAAATAGTCAACAGGACATAATTTGCACTTGTTTTTATTTAACAGATAACAGTTTGAATTTCGGTGATATTTAAATTTGATTGGATAGCTGAATAATCACGTGATCACAAAAATTTTTTGAAAACTGGTCAAAATTGGCATTGTGGATCGGATAGTCAACGAGAGGATAGCAGGAAGACTTCTTATAGAAAACGTATATGGCTTAGATGACCTAATAGAAAGAAATGTTCATGACATATCTAGGTTGTACAGGTGACCAAAATTACGAGCATTTCCTTTTACTTTTTTTGTATAGTACAATTTGACTGTCACGTGATCGAGAAAAAAAGTGGAACGAAGGACATATAAAAATCCAATAATTCCCTAGTTTTTATTTGTGTAAAAATTTTTTAACGCTTAAAATTATGCAATATGTCGCACTGATCAAATGTGATATTTCTTACTTTTCCATAATGTAGACCTTAGCACACGCGGGTTTATTTTCTTCACCTATATTATACGGCGCAGCCGTGAAATCACCCACTTTAAAATTGCCTTTGACTTTATTGAATTTCAATAAAACGATTAAGTGGACCTACCGGCTACCGATAAATATAATAAAGCTAAAGCTAATGATTAATTTACCATGATCGTTACACCCAATAGTAAGCGTAACCAGAGGTATAATACCCTATAAAAAATTTTTATCCGAATATTTCCATTATTTCTCCGTGTCTTCCGTAAAAATTCCGTGAAAATGATACATTCACGGATATCTGTGTTAGCGAGATGAAAATTTCCATGATTTAAGGTTATTAATTCCATGAAAATGATACATTCACTGAAAAAACATGAAAAGATAAAACACGGATCAGATTTTTTACAGGGATACTTAATTTTTTGACATAAAAGTCGTTTATTAAATTATATTGAGAAATTTCATTTGAACTAATAACTTGGATTTTCCGAGAGCTTATTTTCAAGAAAAAATTTTTCATTTAATTATTAATAGAATAATGTACGATTTATCACAATTAATTTTTCCCTATTGAACAATAGTAAATTTTTACTACTAAAAGTGTAATAAAGAGGAAAGAAAGAAAAATAAAGACCTACCGCCATCATACTCTAGGATTAGTTACAAATTTAAAATAAGGTCGGAATAAATCAAGATCATTTTTATCTTATCGCGTTGCTAATCTATTACCCCACGTAATATATATATAGGTCATAGGAAATTTTGAAAATTTTATAATAGCGCTACGCAAGAGTTTTTACTAAGATAAATAAGCAAATTCAACATATGACCTCAAATTTTGCCAAAAAATAAGCAAACTAATCATATGACCGATATTATTTATATTTAACTATATGTACAGATCACTTCTAATATATTTATTTATTTATCGTATTATCTTAAATTTAAGAAGCTTTTTTTTAATTTCTATAACTACTACTGTATTATGTATATATTTAAAACCTCCTCATTTTTTCAATAATATCATCCCGACCATAATATCTTTTTTCATCCCCTAATATGTTACCATAGAGATCGGCCAAAATTATCCTAAAAATAAGCAAACAAAAAATATGACAAAAAAAAATATGCCGAAAATATGCAAACTAAATATATAAGTATAATGAAAATTTTTATTGATTCTAAGCAAATCCTTCTTCTAACTATACCTAAATTCACACATGGCTAAGCAAACGTTCCTATGACCTATATATATATTACGCGGGGTCCTATTCTATCTACCATCTTTGTATTGTGGATTATTAGGCCGTTCCAATTTAATCTTTAGTTTAACGTCCTCCCCCCCCTCTATTTTTGAAAAATTCAAGGGTGATTTAAACATATATGTTTGATATGTTTAAATATGCTTAAAACACCCCTTCCTTTACTAAAATTTAATAGTACCGAGAATTTCCGATTTTACCAAAAATTTCCGAAATTTTTAATGTTTAATTTTCATGTTTGTTTAAATTATCCCCTCCCCCCCCCCTCAAAATTTTTGGCCGGAAAGGACGTTAAACTAATTATTAATTTGGAACGGCCTTATGTGTAATAACCTCTTTTCTATCTTTTTTATTATTACTTGTGCAATTCCTTTCTCATGAGCATCTTTAATTCCATATATTATTATGCTTTCGTCACGAATATATATGATTTATCATTTATGAATTATGACAATTTTATCATTTATGACAATGTATTCATCAGTAATTATAACAAATTATATCGAATTATAATACTGAATTTTTACTTCATCTTGAATATATATATAATAAATTAAACTTTATTTTAGTATTGTAGATGTTTTAGTAAATTTTTATCCACGTTACTTTAATATTTATTATTCTGTTACTTTCAGGATTTCCGATCATCGAATCATTTGCAACACCTTAATCTTGGATGTTAATTTGTTAGACATGATAGAATTGAAATAAAGATTATTTTTTTTTTTTTGATTTTATCTCAAGTGGAAGTATCCTAGTGAATTAGAACTGAAATATGTATGAGAAATTTTACACAAAAGATATTATCCGTAATCTGTAAAGAAAGAAACTAGGACCTAGATATCTTCAACATTTTAAATAACAGCAATAATATTTAGGAAATTAACTCATCCCAGAAACTGGACACAGAACTTGTGCATACTTCTGCTTTGATAAATTCTGATTTTTGAAAGAAAATTTCTTCAGTATCAATCGTTCCATTATTATATAAATTCGAAGAGTAGCAAACACTTGAATTAAACTTGTTATTTTTTTGAAACACTTTAAAGTCTTTAATATTCCAAGATACAGTAAATGTGGTAAAAACTTACAATAGTTTTACAACTTTTTGAAATAGCACATAGTGACGATGATTGGTTAAAGAAATCAATGGTTAGATAAATAGTTTTTTTGCTTTTCTTGATAAAATGAATGTTGGAAATTGATAAAAGAGTATCAAAGTATCAAACGCAGATGACTTATATGTTTTTAAAGGAATTGCCGTATATGATATCAAAAATTGATTGATGGTGTTGAAAGATTGATCGCTTATTCAAATCAAGCATATTTTATTACCTTTTTATGAGCAATAATAAAATTGAAATATTCCTGGTTTTTTAACTTCGCCATCAAATGTTATAGGCAGAAATCCCACTTTAGGGAAAATATTGCCTTTAAGTCCTAATGATGCGGACGAATTTTACACAATGTTCGAAATGCTTGTTGGTGTTCTGAATTTCGTGTGTTTGTGGAGAAAATAATGATGCTTCCGAATTGGTTTGTAGTATGAGGAGAATACTTTTAATTTCTTCTCCTTACACTCCTTCTTAATATTCTAAACCCATAATCTTGTTTGACCATCTTGAGGAAATCATGACCATTATTTCTGCTTGACAATAATCTACAATCTACTTCGTTAAGTCACAAGTTTTTCTTAGATATATCAAATTAATTATCTAGTTATGTTTATATATATTGAAATCAATTTAAGTGAACAAATCGATTTATGACTTATGTAATATGTAATTACTATTTGTTGCTGACTTAGCCAAGTCTTTTAAAAAACTTGTTGTCACCTGATCACCACGTTGAGGTGCAGCAACATTGATCAGGGGGAAAGGGGAAAGCGAAGGGAAAGGGAAAGGGGAGAACGAAGGGAAAGGGGAGAGGGAACGTAAGGGAAAGGGGAGAACGAAAGGGAAAGGGGAGAACGAAAGGGAAAGGGGAGAACGAAAGGGAAAGGGGAGAACGAAAGGGAAAGGGGAGAACGAAAGGGAAGGGGGAGAACGAAAGGGAAGGGGAACGAAAGGAAAAGGGAAAAGAGAAAAGCGGAAGAGGGAAAAGAGCAAGGAAATACAAAACATATATACCACCCACACACAAACTCACGCACAAACCTATACACAAAAACCTAACTACAACGTATCTAAGAATAAAGGGAAGACCTACAGACCTAAAAAGAAGAAGATAAAGAAGACCTAAAAAAAAAAAGAAAACCTGACATATTTATATTATTTAAATTATATATTCATGAGTCATAACAAACCCACATCAAGATTATGTATTACATGTCATAAGGAATTATTACATATTTGCATGAGCAATTTTATTCGCGTAATTATATTTATTAAGTCCGAAGTGCTGTTCAAATATATCGTCATGTGCTGGACGGAATAGAAGTTATATAGTCCTTCGTCAGTGTTACAAAAAAAAGAAGGGAGACGTGAAGTTAATATAAATATTTCGATTCTTATTATCGAATAAATTGGAGGTTTACCATATATTAGGCGGAAATTATTCTTGATTCTTTTCAATATTGGCCCATCAACAATATTATAATTTTGAAATAAGAAAGATCCTATTATCCTAATTCTACGGACATTGTACGTTTATGCGAATTAAGAAATTTCTCAATATCTATAATAGCTAATTGGATTGAGAGGAAAAATGCAAAAGCGATTCATTGTAGAAAGGATTTGCAATCAATTTAGACCTTCTTTATCGCAGTAGTCGGGTAAGCATATTATTTATTAAAGATAAATTACTTGAAAGAAAAAAAATGAAGAAAAAAAAGAGAACTCAAAATTTAAATTATGCAACCTAGTAATACCGCTCCAATTTCCAGTTTAAAGATCATTATTAGGTAATCTAAAACGATGGTATCTGGAATTTTGAATTGATTCACGTGATGGCGCAATATAACCGGTTAATGTAGGCCAGAGATGTATCATAAAAAAGTTTCTGTAAAAACAATTATAAATAAAATTATTAATTTTTGACATGGCTACGCAGGCTACGGTGCGTGATGTAAATCAATGACGTACTCTTCTTGTATCATAATTTTTTATCCGTTTTGTGGACAGATCCAACCTCTATTTGGTTAAAATTAAAATAATTTTTCCTGAATTATAAATACGATCAACACGACTCGAAGTTTAACATCTTCCGCAATTAAAAATTTTTTTCTTATTAAAAAACTTATATTCTTAAATATTATCTATTATCGCCGCAATTGAAAAAGCCGATACATTAATAGATTATAACGTTCATTATGACATAACCAAAGAACATGAATTTCTAAAGCTTATGATAGATGAAAAAATGGAAGCAATAAAAAGAATAACGAAAAAATTGTGACCAAAAAAAAAATTTTATTGAATGAAGGAACAAAGAGATTATATGAAAATGTTTTTTAAGAGTGTTTTTGTACGTCATATTGTGAATATTGCATTCAAACCTATTTAAATAAGAATTTTTCAAAGTGGACGTCGAATAATTGAATGGATACCATACAATAATTTATAAAATATTAAATATATGACTAAAGGTACATTCAGCGAATTGGATCATGGCGGATGGAATTCTAAAGAGTAACAATTAGAAAGGCCAGAGTAAATGAGTAGTACTTAAATAAATTGGAGAATGTTAAAAATGTCAATAGAAATTCTCATAACAAATTTATGATCCTCAAAACTTCCTCAAACTTAACCTCATAACAATCTCACCGAATCTCTTATTTTCCCTTGTAATTCCTTTTCTTTCGCCAAACCAACTTAGCCGCAGTCCAATTTTCTTACTTTGCCCATTATGACCTTACGTTCATTATTTATTATGTTATACTTGTTATGATATTTATAAAATTCTTATTTGTTTTATACACAACTATCACAACAGGATTAACTGGCCAAGGTTGGTTCGAAGAAGTATATATTTTAATTTTATTTACAAAATATTAACCCATAACTAATAACTTAATATAATTATAGGCAGGATCGCATTTGATACTATGTAGTAAATATATAGACTTTGTCAAATGTTACGGTTTAACTCAAGATTCAAAGGGAGACTATATGCTCGTACTACATATAATGGATACAGATTTAAGAAAATATTTGCAGCATCAACATACATGGAAAGAAAAAAATAAATGTAGTATGTCATGTGAGGTACTTTATAGAATTCATGATAATAATGCGGTTCATAAAGATTTGCACTCAAAAAATATTTTGTATTCATAATATCATAATTCCTGTTATATGAATGATTTTTGATTTTGTGGACCCCGCTGATAAACCATCAAAATATATGGGAATCTTCCTTGTATAGCATCCGAGTTATACAGTAGTTGGAAAAGAATATACTTTTACATCTGACATTTATAGTTTTCGTATACTTACGTTGGAAATTTCATCAAATCAGATACCTTTTGAACGTGATTATGATCTTGCAATGAAAATAGTTTATAGCATGAGATCAGAAATCAAAACATTTCAATATATACTAGTATCTCCTATCGATTTTTCTAAAAATGAAGAGAATTCGTAACTTTTGTTCAGTTGAAAGAGATTTATCTGTCACTAAATCCTGTAATCCATTTAGAAGGCAATTTAAGCATTTCCCCTATATTAAAAGAAAGTGGATAAGATCCAAGCTTATTAAACAGAACAGAAGTTTACATAGCTTGTTAATGTTGAAGTTTGGCTTAGGTGTTATAGTAATATTTCTGATGTGATAAAAAACCAATTTTGGTGTGGGTTAATTTTTTAACCGCTAAAATGAGTTTTAGATCAGGTATGTTGTAGCGCACAAAAAAAACATAATAATGTGATAATGTGATATTTAATATAATAAATATAAGTATATTGTGCAAAGTTGAAATTTAATTATAAAATGAATAAAAATGTGTTAGAAAATTTTTTCCATTAAAACTTGTTTTCCATAAGAGAAATACTAAGATTACATATACATACATTTTATAAGAATAAAGGGTCATGACTTTGATGTCTTCTGTAATTAATTATAAAACTTTTTATTTGCATATATTAATATTTATTGAATGCAATTAATTTATTCTATGAAAATGAGAGACTTTCATTCAGTTAGCATATTATCACTAATCTAAATTTCTAAACAGACCGGCAAGGCGGCAATCATTATTGGACATATGGTCTACTAACTGTCCATTAATAGACCCTCCGCAGGTTGGACGTTACATTATGTATATACAACTGACGCGAATCATTTAACTGTTTAAAATATATTTATTAATTTAATTTTTAAAATTTTTCTTACTTTAAGAATCGAACAAAGACCTAAATACTTATTTTTCGATTTCAATTATTTCAATTATCATCACATGATTGAAAATGGGCGTCATAATCTAATATACATTTGTAAAAATTTTTTTATACCAGTCTAAATTAGTGTAAATTGTAATCGAACTTTGCGTCTCTTAAACGTCTATGTTTGAAAATTACGTAAAAAAGAATGTGAGAATCACAGTATACAGTATGTAATACAAGTATATTATTTCTATATAATTTTATTATATTGATTTTTTGGTTTATAATTAGAAAATTTGGTACATTTAATGTTGATACTCACGTGAATGTTTAGTCATTCAAATACATAAAAAATTTTAATTAAAATTTGTAACAAAACTATAAAAATCATAATCTGGAGTTGGATTTTAATTATAAATTTAGAATATATATGAAATTAAAGTCAAACAAGATTATTGGTGATAAAAAAGCAATGTATGATTTAGCCATGTTTCATTATAATTGAGAAGAACAATATTAAGTATGATTATAATATATGTAGTAATTAAAATATAACCTAAAAATATATATATGTGTGTAAATAAAAGCTTTTAGAATAAATCATAACTATTTCCTAATCCTAACCCTAATCCTAACCCTATTCTTTAAAAAAGTATGCAGTTAATTGCTACGCGACGAAGAATAATGCATGCAATGACCCACAACTAATGCGAACAATATCTTTGCCTTCCCCAAGTCCATTTAAATCTGATATCTGAAATGGTGATGTCACTTCATTTTCTAAGACCAAAGTCTCTCCAAACCCCCATGCATAAATTTTGTTAACTGTATCAATAGCTATTGAGTAATGTTCTCTAGCTCCAATAAATTTTATTGAAGTAAGATTCGGAATAACAGTTGGAGTCACTATTCTTTTATCAGTAATAACATTATTACCCAAACCAAGTTGTCCACTATCAGAACGTCCAAAACTAAAAACTTGTCCATCATGCATACGAACAAGTGTATGATGTTGACCAGCAGCAATTTCATCAACATTTTGGTCAACTTCATTAAAAAATGAATGCTTTTTAGGAGTAATATATTTTTTTGACTCTTCAAGACCACATTGTCCCATATTGTTGAGGCCAAAGACCCATACATTATTATTATCATCAATCGCAAAGTTATGATACGCACCAGCATATAATTGAACAATATGTTTTAATCCTAGGTTGAATGGCACGAGCAATTCGCATTCCTTTAATCCAAGACTACGACCTTCATTACTTCCCCATGCATATACATCTCCTTCCCTGGTAAGTGCTAAAGCATGATTTGCACCTGTTACTATGTCAACTATTGATAAATGTTCCAAAGGAGTATACCGTGTAAATATTGGTTGTTCGATTTTATTATTTTGGGAAAATCCAATAATTCCATCTTTACCCTGATTTTTATGAAAAAAAAAAAAAAAATTTATAAAAAAATCACTAATTTGGCTGGAATTATTGATATTTAAATTGTACAAACCTTAAAAACACCCGTCGCATATAAATGACCTTGATCAGATATAGCAAAGGTAATATTATCTCCACAAATTACTTTTACAATATTGATATTATCAAGACCTTCAGCATATGCGGGTTCATTTTCCTCATATATGTTATAATTTCCTTCTTTTAGAATTTTATTCGCTGCTGTTGAATTAGGAAATTTGGTGAAGCGACCAAGCGTACCTGAGTTTGAAAATATAACTATATATTTAATTGAAATATAATGAAGGCGTTACAATAATAACATTAAATGATTAGTTTTACCATGATCATTACATCCCCACGTTACAACTTTGCCATCAGAAGTAAGCGCAGCACTATGAAGAGCTCCTGCGCTTATATCAACTATGTTGAATTTTTCCAAAGGAATAATACTTAATTTTTTTATTTCTGATTCTTTTATACCACCACATTGAGACATATCATTTGAACCAATAGCGTAAACCTGACCAATTCGTTTAGGAAGAGTAGGAATCGGTACAATAAAAGTGTTCCACTTTCTACGTTTAGAATTCAGTATTTGCGTGTTATCATCCTCTACGACATTATTGCCACGTTTTCTAGTAGGTAACAAAACACTTGAAGTTGCTTTACCCCACTTTTGCTCAGCAATAGTAGTAACTTGGGGAGCTGCATCTTGAATGTCGACTGAAACAACTTTTGTTTCATGAATAGGAATGATAGCTTTTCTTGAAGTAGATGTGATAGCCTTTCTTGAAGTAGTTTTAGATGGTTCTACTTGTTTAAGACGTTTATCAATATTCCGATCAGATGTACCTTCTTCATATAGTTCAACTGAAACAACTTTTGTTTCATGAGTAGGAATGATAGCCTTTCTTATAGCCTTTCTTGTAGTAGCTATTTGTTTATGACGTTTATCGGTATTCTGATCAGCTTCGTATAGTTCAACTATACGCTTTCTTTTGTTATTTCGTGCAGCTGTAACGTTACGTCCGTGATGGGCTGACTTAGAGGTAACACTAGCATTGGATGATGTAGTGCGTGCAGCAATTCGAGCAGAACGTCTGGTAGCTTGTTGTTGGACAGTTTTGTTATTCTTAACCATTTTAAATATAAGGATAAATAAAGGAAAAAAAGTAATTGGTAAGTATATTATTTTGATAATTTTTTTTTGGGGTAAAAATACTGAAAAATCGAATTTTTATGTGAAAATTTTAATAACATAATTATAACCATATCATTAATAAGAATGACTATTCATTAAGGAAATTTAATCATAATTATATGAATCTATACAAGAATACATTATATTAGTCATAACGATTAATTTGTTATAGATTTTATAGATTATAAATTATAACCGCGACACCAAGAACAAACACTTAAAAAAGATTTCATTTTTTTTTAATTTAATTGTTTCACATTTATATTATTGGTTATAATTTGTATAATACAAATACAAGTTTACGTAATTATAGTGATATAAATAAGTATTTCCTTTTTTGGATAATTCCAGGCAAATTACAAAATATGTTTGGATCCTTAATTTTGGTTATTCTTAATAATATTACGTTAGGTTTTATTTATGTATTTAAATTAATTTAAAATCATAATATATTACCTAATGAATAAGTCGTAAAATAATCGAAAAACATAATTTCTATCGTTACGTAATCTTATCTAAATGGTAGGTAATTTTATTATATTTATTATTGTTTAAGTTTTTTAATTTTTAGACAAGTTAAAAGATACGGTATATAAAGCGATTGAATATTATCCAATAAATGAACATCACATGATGAGAAGTTTTACAAGTAAGCATTTTTATACAAAAAAAAAATTATTAAATGACTAAAGAATGTTATTTTTTAAAAAATTCCAGCATAATTTTACTTTAAAGAAAAAAAAAAAATTTTCGAGATAAATTGGAATTTATTGATCACCCACTGTATTTCTTTCAATTATAATGCGATTGTATCGTGTTTTTCTAAAATAAAATATTCTCAGATTTGTCAAATTGCCATATTAATCATTATTTTAATTGTTAACATGCTTCTTCACGTTAAGTTAAATTAGTAATTGTAACTGTAATTCAAATTCAACTGTTCTAACTATAATTTTTCATTATGATAATTAAATAACGAAAATTTGCAAATTTCTATACACGTTTTATAGTTATAAGTAAATATGCCTCAATTAAACTATCCTATGCCAAAATCTGAATGTTTTTATAAAATAGAAAAAAAAAATTAGAAGTTAATAAATGAGAAACTAAAATAGTAATGAAGAAATAAATTAAAAATCGCCAACTCTTAAGATGGTATCTTTGATGATGATAAAGATAAAATCGATGATAATAATGTGGTAATGATGAAAGTGGTAAAAGGTATAAAAAAAGAAATTAAAAATTATACAATATAGTAAATATAGTATAAACATTTTTTTGACGATTATCGCAAAAGATTTCAATTCTTGCTACATGCAAAAAAATATAATTTTGCAGATTATTGTCGATCATTTTGCAATTCCACGAATTAGCCATAAAAAAAATTTGAATATAACTTTTTAAATCACTTGAAGAAGTCGTCCATTTGCTATAAGTGGGATCAAAAATAATTATTTTTTTTTTTTGAATGGACTTAGTAAAATGCTTTAATTATTCTTTAATAATTTCAAAATAGGAGAGTATCACATGATATATATATAATATGTTACTTGGCTCAAGTTTATTCAACCTTATATTACATAATCTGGTATATCTACACACGTAGTATAGATTCAGTATATATATTTTTATTTCCCATTTCCACTAGAAGTAGGGCGACTTTTCATTAATTTTTATGCTCTACTTGTAGGAATTGTTTTATATAGTTTCTTGTAGACTGTTTAATGATGAAAAAAATATTGTTCAACGTAAGTGAGGTGTAATAAGCGATAGAGGTTTGGAATTGATAAAAATGTTAAAAAACAACATTTTGGTAAAGAGACAAAACGCGCATATCTAAAATAAGAAATACTTTAATCTACAAAAGAGGTAGTACAGTAGATTACTATAATATTATTGATTACGGTAGTGTTTCATAGTTTTTCTTAGTTTGTTGTAGTAGTTAAAGGTGTTGTAGCGGGTTTTTATATAACATTACCGAAGTCCATACGAATCCTATTTGGGTGTGCAGGATGGTAGATAGTTCTTTTGAACATAAAATCTTAACATTATAGTATTTTTCGATCGTGTTCTTTACTAAATGTTATATAATGTAGATCTTTTCTTTTTTTGTAATTTTTCTTATTTCCTAATAAAGTAATAAATTGACTTCGTTTAAAAAAAAAAAATACAGTACGTCATAGTACGTCACATACGTCAGTCAGCATTATGACTTCTAAAATTGGGCTTATAATAACCAAATTTAACTCCGATACTCCGATAAAAACTAACAATTCCGATACTCGTACTCGTATTTTTCCTTTCTCTAAATTTCTTAAGATGACATTACCTTATTTAATAGATGATTGTGTTTATAATATTTTACAATACCTTCAAAATGATGGATCAACTCTATTTAATTGTTTATTAGTTAATCGATTTTGGTGTAAAACGACAATTCCTATACTTTATGCAAATCCTTTTGCAACAGGATACAGAAAAAAACACAAGTTAATCTCAACCATAATTTTACTTTTTAATAAAGAAGAAATTTTACAATTAAAGAATCAATTAGGAACAAATCAAATTAAAAAATTTAATATTGATGATGAACACAAACCATTATTTGAATATTTAAAATATTTGGAAGATTACAATTACTATAAAATAAGTTCTTTTATGACTAGATTTATATTCTGTAATATTACTTTATCAATATCATCTTCACTCAAAGAATGTAAATTCAATATTTCCCCAATATTTCATCAAAGAATTTTATGTCAAAGTAGAAACATTAAACAATTAGATATTTCATTAGATTTATTTAATAGTGAAGCTTTTAAAAATTTTAATGTTCAAAATTTCATTTCAAATTTAACAAAATTAAAATCATTAACATTAAGTTTATCATTAGGTGATACTAATAATAATGAAATTGAACAAGAATTTTTAGGAAGTATAGCTAATAATAATTTTAATAATTTAAATTTGAGAAAATTAATAATTGACCTTACTTCTAAAAAATTAGTTGGACAAAAGATTAATACATGTGAAAAGATTTATAAAATTATTCAAGGACAAAACAAACTTAAAATATTTCAGATACGGAATTGTTGTTATTCTTTATTAAATAATATTCTTTTATCCTTAGAATTTCGAAAGCATTCTTTAGTTCATATTGAAATTGTAAAATCTGACTTCATTAATGTTAATTTAAAAAGTTTTAATAATTTATATAATTTAGAATATTTAATATTTGAATCTTGTGAAGGTATATTATTAAGTCAATGTGAGATTTTAAAATTTGCTTCATTTAAGCTCAAGGAATTATCATTTATACGTAATGAATGGAATGCTGATGTCACATCATTAATGATCAAATATCTAGGAGAATCATTACAAAAATTATTAATTGAAGATCCTACAATTCAACTTATTGAAAATATATCAATGTATTGTCCAAATCTTATTTTTTTAGAAATAAGAATTTATTTATATGTTGATTTATCAGTGTTATCATTTTTAAAAAATTTAAGAATAAGAATATTAAATATTAAAATTTCTTATAATATTGATAAAATTTTTTTTATAAATTTAGCAAATAATATACCTATTAATATTAGTAAAATTTCTTTTTCTATTTATTTTTGTGATTTTCGTCTTTCAAAACTTAAGGAATTTTTAGAAAATTGTCATAATAGTTTTGAAATAATTAATTTAAATCATATTATTGAATATCAACTTCTTGAAATTGTTTTAAATTATATTGAAAGAAGTAATAATAGTTTAAAACTTCTTGGTATGATGAAATTGAATGAAAAATTGAATGATAAAGAATTAAAATTATTGAATCAAATTGAAGCTAAAGGAGTTAAAATAGTGGAATTTAATAGTATTGCTATGTTTAGTATTTAATATTTAGGATTAATATTTAGCTTTAGGTTATTTATTATTATTATTTTTTTTTTTGTTTAACAAAATAAATAAAAATTTTTATAAAAAAGGATACCGATTATTTATGTGGCGTATTGGTTATAAATTGTTAGTCCTTTTAGAATATCAATTTTTTTTAAATGGAGCTCAACCTTATATGAGACGATGAGGTATAATACAATTACATTTAATTTCTAGGTAATGATTTTGATGTTGATCGAATTCTCTACGTAGATGCATCAAATTCCTATGAAACTAGAGATCAGTCTGACCACAGTATTTTTTTACGTTAATTAATTAATTTACTTCTATTTATTGTTTGTTTTTGAAAAAAAGTATATTTTATAATTATGAATAAATTTCAGGCATAATAAATTTAAGTTACTACTTAGTACATGAGGACTAATTATTTTCAACTAATTATTATCTTTGAATTTTTTTTAAAAAAAGATCAATAACCAAGAAAGATACTTTTTTTCAGATTGCAACTTTTATTCATTTACTTAATTTATTGTGATATTGTTCTATTAGCGCTTATAGTTCGTCTAAGACATATTTTAAACGTGGCGATATTATATTTTACTCAATGTATTTTGTTTTATCAAATAAGTTCATGCCTATGTATGTTTTATGATAACTAGCTGTAACCTGTTGCGTTTGCAACAAGATTAGATCAACATGAAATTTCTGAAATATATTTAGGAAAATTAAATATAATTTTAAAGTTTTTATTTGTTTATAATTTGGATTATAATGTGAGCGGGTGAAAAAATAAAAATTATTAAAATTTAAAATAAACTAATAATAATTAAAATATTAAAAGTATTAATTATACTAATTATTTAAAAAAGTTATATAATTCATAAAATATTTATAAATTTTATTGGATATTTTTTAAAAAATCATATTTATTTTAACTAAAAAAAAAAATTATATAAAATATAATTTATTCAAATAAAAAAAAAAATACATATATATATTTATTTCGATTACATCGCAACACTGGCCCGATCCAAACCTAAAAAGGTAAAAGAACAAAAAAAAAATTAGGAAAAAAAGAGGTATTATTAATTTATTATAGTCTTCGGGCATAAACTCTTGCCAGAATTAAGCGGTGATAATCGCCGGTGGTTAGAATCACCAACTGGTGAACTTTAGCAATACTTCACTGATGATATGTATTTTTAAATTTATCTATTAAGATCAAATTCACATAAAAGAACTAGCAATATAGCAAATACTATAATATCCACATTTATTTCTTTTTAAACTTCATAATATACTTAACAATTCCAACAACTGAAAATCTGTAAAATTTTTCCTAATATAAAATTTTTATTTAGGTAATTATATATACATATATATTTGGAGCGTAAGATAGAAATAAAATAATGATGATATCATTTAAGTTTTTTTTTTGTTGATCTACCAATGAAAATTCCTTTTCCAATAAACTTATTGAAGGAAAAGTAATAATACGGAAAGGGCGTTTCCCGTTTTCAATAAAAAAGACTGATAAGGATCGTGGTATATATTACAATAATATTATATTGATATGATAAAAACACATAATTTGCGGTTGGCCATAGATAAATAAGTATCTAAAGTTAACGTTAAGAAAATACAAATCACTTTGATTCAATCTAACTGCAGAAAACATGAACCCAATCTATTCATATGTCAAATTCAGATACATCAATGATGCAAACTTTAAACCCGTACAATTTACGCTTTGCAAATACTTATCAATTTACAGCCTTTGTCCCTACTCTTTTATAATTTAATTCTTCTTTAATGATGTTTTATGTATTAAACTAATATGATAATCCATCAGGGCTACAGCCATGTTTTGACCTTTTCTTTTTCAATTTTGATGTTAAAAGAACCATTGGAACCTCTTTAAACTAAATTAAAAGGTGAAGTAAGTAAAAAATTTGAAAAAAATTGCATTAGAAAGATTGAGACTTACAAAAAGATATTTATCAGATGGAACTTTTAATATTTCATCTTTATATGAATAATTACATGACTCTACCAAACAAAAATATTATTATCCATACAATTTATGCAACCTATTTTTTATAAGATAAGATATCTTCCTTTTCAAGATAATCTTAAAATCAAAAATGTTAAATAAATTATCTTTTTAGATTCGCAAAATGAAATCATTCATACGTCATATTTGTAGTAATTTTTTATCATTAAAATTTCACTTACTGTACAAACAAAAAGTACTTGGAAGTTTTAATTTATTGATTTTTCTTGGGAATTCACACGGACAGTCTGTTTAAATTTTGTGTTACCTTAAAAATGTATGTTTACCAAACTTCTGGTTTTTTGTGTAGTAATCAATTTCCTTTTTCAAAAATCTTCTTTTATGGTAGTAATTTGTACCATCTAAATGACCGGCCATTTTTTTTAAAAAATAAAATTATTTATGTTTTTATATTAATTCCTATGTCGATTTCCATATTGTTTTATAACTGGAATATATGCTATTTGGAGACTTCGTCCCCAATGATTATGTACATAATATAGTTCCCGGTGAAAATATAATAATGGTGGTATGAATATCACATGTTGATTTGACAGATGATTTTGACAATTCAAATAATCAAAATTATTTTCACATTTTTTTCTATTAGTGCGAATAATAGTTATTTTAATTTCTTAATTTATCTGTAACGATTATAAATTTATAATTATTAATTGTCATTGAATAATTTTTAGATGATAGCGAAGAATTATTCAAATCATTTAATGAATTATAAAATAAATTTAAATGAAGGTAAATAAATAATACTATTTTGATTACAAATTTATCCCTTGAAATATAATATATATTATATTTTATTTTTTATATTTAATCAAATTAATTATGGAAAAGAAATGGTGGAGCAACAGCGATTAAAAAAACATAATGTTGGTATGTATAGATAATAATAATTGATTTTTATGAAATTATAATTTTATTATTTAATTCTAAAATATTATATATAATAAATTTAGTTAGTTTTTTTTCTATGTAGACATGGCAAGTTAATTTGAAATTTTTTTTTCAAAAAAAAAAAAAATTTTACGTAGTTATGTTACTAATTTATATTTTATATTTTTTTTAGATGGATTTTTAAATTTTTTATTTTACTAAATTATCATTATTATTTAATTAATATTAACAATAAATATTTATTTATTTTTTTCATATTAGGATTATTCAAACACTAAGCTTTAGAGTAGAAATCTTACTAGACAAATACTTAGTTTGTAATTTAAACAATTCATTCTGTTTCAGATATATTATATTGTAATTTATCCAAATATTAAACTTGTAGCTTATCAATTTTATTGTTTCTATCAGCAGTGAATGTGTGATTAAACATTTATATTAATTATAAAATTCTATTTAATCGATACGTTATGTGGCGCAGTAACTAATAAAGGAATCGAAGTAAAATCATCCATCATAAAATTATCAAGATTGTGAGACTAGTACTTTAACGTAATACATTATTAATTATCAATTATTAATTTATCTATTTATTTTAAATCACACAGTGAACAGTAAAACATCATATAGTATATTATTAGTTTAGGCCAAATTTTCATTTTTTTTTTATTTATTTTTAGGACGTGAATCTTTTTTTTAAAAAAATACTTTATTAATAATCAATAAATTCGAATAAATATAAACTAAAATAGTTAATTAATTTATTTATATAAAAGCTAAAGCCATACGTGCCAAGAAAGTTTTTCATTAAGAAATCGTCATAACTTTCATAATTTGTACTGTATCTTTGATTTTTTTTTTTTTAAAAAAAATAAATTAATGATTCTTAAATGCATCCCGAAGGAATTGTACATCATAACATTTTATAAATTAAATTGTGCAGTGCTTTTTTGGTATAAAATAAATAGCTAATATCATGGAAAATATATTATTTCTACTACACAATAAGTGAGATTTATTATTTTTAATAATTTATTTTTGATATAGTTTTAACAAAGATCGTTTAATAAAATTAGCGTCAATATTAACAACATCATTGTCATGTACTGTATTCAATATTAGTCAAGCCTGCTGATTATGTTTAATATACTTCTTTTATATAATACTCATATTTATTAATATTACCTCTGTAAAAATTTATATCATGCTGTTATTATAATGTTTTCAAACTTGGTAAAACATTCTTATGAAATTAAACAAATTATTATTTATAATTTATTATATTTCATATTCATTTAAATAATTTAGTTACATGATAAGTTACCTTTATTACTTCCCAATACAATCTTTATTTAATAACTAGTGATTGTCATATATGGAAGACTTCGTCCCCCATTTGTTTTTTTATGTTAGATATTTATAATGAAATTTTATCCAGATTAGTTGATTAGCGTTAAATTATTTAACCGAAAAGCAGTTAATTACTAAATTCGGTTGTTCATTTTGTATTTATGGTCACATGATAGTCACACAACATTTGGTAATACATAAAACGGATGAAAAACTCCGCTCGTAAAATTTTTTTAAGTTACAAAATTATTTTAAATTTTTTTTTCATAATTTAAATATTTTATAAGAAAATTACATTATGTCTGATATTCGAAAAGAATTAGTTTATGCTGCAATTAATAGAGCAATTACATCAATAGATTATGATATTTATGATGATTTTCATAAACAACATGAATTTAAAAAACAAACTATACTTGCTGATAATTCTCTTACAAATGATGAAAAAACTTATGCAATAAAAGAACTGAATAAGACATATGACAGGTATAAAGTTAAATATAATTATGGGGCAAGAAGAACTTGTGAAAATTGTAACCAAGAATGTTTAGCTACATTATATTGTGAATATTGTGTTCAAAATTATTTAAAAGCAAACTTTTCAAATTGGACATCTGGAAATAATGATATTGATAATTTAATACAAAAATGTCAAATTGAAACACTTAGACCAGATAAAATAATTGAATGGATTCCATATAATAATTTACAAAATATTAAATATTTAACAAAAGGTGGATTTTCTGAAATTTATACAGCAGTTTGGATTGATGGAAGTTATGAAGAATGGGATTCTAAAGAACAAAAATTAATAAGATTAGGAAGACACAAAGTAATACTTAAAGGATTAGAAAATGTTGAAAATGCAAATCAAAGATGGTTTGAAGAGGTTTGTAATTTAATGTTATTTATTATTATTTTCAGTTTTAGTAAATAATAAATTTTATTATATATATATAGGCTGAATCACACTTTAAAATAAGCAATATATCTTCATCAATTATTCCATGTTTTGGTTTAACACAAAATCCATCAAATGGAAATTATATGCTTGTAATAGGTAAAGCAGATATAGATTTAAGAAAATATTTACAACAAACTCAAAATCAACTTACATGGAAAGAAAGAATAAAAATTGCTTATGATATAACTCCTGCACTCAAGGTTATTCACAGGGAAAACACAATTCATAGAGATTTGCATTCTGGGAATATATTGTATTCAAAACTAAATCAACGTTGGTATATCAGTGATCTCGGATTTTGTGGACCTGCAGATAAATCAACAGAAAGTATATATGGTAATCTTCCCTACATAGCACCAGAAGTTATTTCTGGAAAGAATACTACAGTGGAATCTGATATTTATAGTATTGGAATGTTAATGTGGGAAATTTCATCTGGACAACCTCCTTTTAATTATTATGAAAATGATTATAAACTTGCATTGAATATAATTAATGGAATGAGACCAAAAGTAATATCAGGAACTCCTTTAAAATATGAAAATTTAATGAAACAATGTTGGAATGCTGATCCATCAAAAAGACCTGATATTGGTACACTTTGTAATAGAATTCGCCAACTTCTACAATTTTATCAAAATATATCAAATGAAATACTTCAACAAGAAACAAATAATTTAGAAAGAAACAAACTAATAAACAACACAATGTCAAAACATATAAGTAGCAAATTATTTACAAGTAGAATTCATCAATTTAAAAATTTGCCTGAACCAAGAAATGCAACAGAAGGTATAATTTTAATATTTGTTATCTTTATTATTTTTCTTTTAAAATATTAATATTGTTTTTAATTTTAAATGATAATAGAAGAACAAGAAGGTAAAAATAATGGATATGTATTAGAAATATGTAAAATATTTGATTATTTTTTCTAACCTTTAAAAAAAAATCATTTTTAATAGCATTTCATAGTAAATCATATGACTGCTTTAATATTCCTGATAATAGTAAGTAATTAGATATATTGATATATATAATGCAAATTATTAATTATTTTTATTACTAGTTGAAGATTTTAACAATCCAAGTAATAAAAATTATGCTGGTACATCCAAAGCAAGTAGTATTTTAAAAGGTAATTAATCATTTAAATTTAAATTTTCTTTTTTGTAACAGTATGAACTTATAGCCGTTTGATTTTGAATCTGTAAAAATTATAATTATTAATTTGATTGTCTTAATAATTTTTAGGCATGAGTAAAAGATTATCTAAAGTATTTAATAAATTACAAAAAAAATCAAATAATGGCAAGTAGATAATTATTCTGTATTTGATTACAGTTCTCATTCCTTGAAATATAACATATTTTACATTTTTTATAGGTAATCAAATTAATTACGGAAAAGAAATAGTTGAACAACAACAAATTAAGCAATATAATCTCAACATTAATGGTATGAAAAATTGCAATAATGATTAATTATGTAACATTCGTTTTATATATCTTTTTTTTTTATAGATGAAGATGAAACTTATGATGATAAAAACTTTCATTCAGAAGAAGATGATGTATTTGAAATTCCAGATGGTAAGTATTTCATATTACTGTACCATATGTTCTTTATATTTTTGCAAGAAAAATAACTATATTCATTTTGTATTTTTATTTATTAATTAATTAATTTAATTTAGATGGATTTTAAATTCTTTAATTTCTGACGTACGGAATATATTTTATTACTTTTTTTTTGCTTTTTATTTAGAATTATTTAAACACTAAGTATAGAGTAGGTAAAATTTTTTACGAGATTCTTAGTTTGTAATTTAAATGATTCACTATTTTTATTATTATTGTTATAACTTCGTTATTCATTAAATAAAAAATTTAACTTTTTCGATAACATAAAATTTTTGATTTACTGCAAATAAAATTATTTGGAGTGGGAGGTTCAATATTAATTTAATGAGTTTATAATAAAATAAGTCGTAACACTGTCGTAACGATAGGGCCAATTAATGACTAAAATTTTTATATTTGAACAAAGTGGATATGATTTATTCTTTAAATTGTGTTCAATTACTATATAAAGGATCATTAAAAGAACGTAATAAAATTAACTTTTTCAATGATAAAAAGTAAGTAAATGGGAAGTACAAAAATATTTTAACCTTCTATCAATTTATCACGTGCATTTTTAACCCTAATGATCGATCAAATTAATGTTTGAACGAAACCATCATAATGCTGGCTGAAATTACATTCAATCACGTGATATTGTCGTTAACGATATGGTTAATTGATATAAATGCAGTATTTGAAACTAATTTTAATATATAATTTAATGATTATCACAAAATATTGGATTAATAACAAATTAAATGTGTGGAATGTATGGATAATTTAATAACAATGTTAAAATTCGAATTACAATTTATTTCATCATTGATTGTAACGAAATATGAAAATATTGCTGAAAACATTTACTAATATTTGGGTAAGTAATATTATTTATTATAGATTTTTCTATTCGTCCTTTAAATGTAATAAAATCCACAATTATTACTATAGAAATTACAAGGCTAAAGCAATAAACTCTAGACTCTACTATTTAGATTATTTTTTTTAACTGGTTAACGAAGGATTTATTATAAAATTATTTAGAGATTACATATATGCCTTTAGTTTGATTTGTAGTAACAGCTAAAATTAACTCAACAATAATACTAAACTAAATATCTAGAATATTACAACAAGTATAAATATTCCCAATAAACCAGGATAAACGAAAAAGATGAAATAAAAAGCAAACTTACCCAAAGGGCAATCAACAAGAAAAATAGTAAAATAAAAGAAAGAATGAAACAAAACAAATTTTAATATCCCGGCTCACACATATTAGCCCTCTGTTCTCAACCTAGGCACTTGCGTTGATGTATTTCTATTTTTTTCTAAATATCTATATCCATTGCTTCCTATATTCAATTTTTTCTTTTTATTTATTTTCAACTTTTTTTCTTTTATAGTTTGTAATTCACACCTCTCGTTCCAAATTATTTTAGTTTCGTCATATATATAATTAAGAAACGATGTAGCCACTTTAGTTTTATCTACGATATTCATTTTAATTTCGCTTGACAAAAAATCAGATCATTTAAGCGGAAATATTCCTTTAATCACATCTATAAATGTCAAATTATTTTCGTCAACTAAAAGTTTCCCAAACTTTTTGTTGTCAAATAAGTTTTCTTTTAACATCGCAATGATTTTTTTCTAAATTTGTAATTTCGTTTGTCAGAAATATTATTGATTTTCTGATAATGTCCTTTAATCATTTCTTATGTTTATTACACATACAGTACATACGTGATTAAAGGTTTTCGCAACGGACACATTTCCAATTCTTATAAATTTCGTGTGTTGATTTTTACATTGTTCTATTGTAGGCATTTCTTCAATCAGCCTCTGTATTTTCTTTCTTCTCCTTGTTGTCCAGAACGAAGTTGTTAACGCTTTTTCTCCCTCTTTTAAATATTCAAAGGTCAAACTAATCTATTTCCGTTTGAACATATTTCGAATTTCAATTTAAATTAAAGAAATTTTCTAAATTACAAATTTCCGTATAATGTCTTATAAAATGGTGTAGATGTTTTTCTACTATTATGTTTGTTCCAGACGACTATATAATCAATCGAAAAAATCTTATTGAAGTCTATTTTTATCGTATAGACTCTATTAATATCGGTGATCTTTTCTTTTAATTTTTCGATCTAATAAATTATGATATGGTTATCTGCATGCGCTTTAACTTTAACTAGAGTTGGTAATTTAATTTTTTTCTTCTGAAATCAACGTCCTAATTAAAGCTCAGTAATATAAATTATTTTGTTCTTTAAATATTTTCCGTGCATTAACGAAATTATATATTTTAACTAATTCGTCAAACCGGTTATAAACCAATTCACTATCCGTATATATATTAACATTTTCGATATCATGTCCAATAAATAACGCTAATAAAAAGGCAAACGTTTCTACCTTCAGTTAGTTGACTTCTCGATCATCGCATATAACTCTGTTAAATTGTGATTTTCATCATAAACGTTCAAATCCGCCAGTCCTACTATATTTTCGGATCCACTATTAATCACCGATCCATCATGTAAATATGTATTTTCTTTCCGTTACTACTATTTTCCTTAACTTTATTATTGATCATTAACAACTTTTCTAAACTTAAGTTGTTATCACACTTTTCTCCCATGACAAATTTTTTATTAATATTTTGGTCTTCCACACCTATGTCATCATCTTCTATTGCAGTTCTGATATCGTCTGCCAAGTATCTATCTGGAATCTGGATTATCCTTAAAATACCTATCGTAACGTATTTTTAATTCAATATGATGTTACGTAATATCCGGTATAATATACGCCCTATTAGCAATTAAATTTACGCTTGTCGAATGTTTTTGATTTTCTAAAAAAAAATCGGATTTAATTCTGTCGAAAAGACACACGGGTCTTGTTTAAATATTGGTCTATCTAATAATCAGTCCCATACATTTGTTAAAAACAATATTGAAGTCTTCTGGTTCGCTTAATACAATATAATGTGCTATATTAACTAAAGAGCCTTCCATACCAACTACTTTCCCATATAACACTTTTGTTCTAGCATAACATTTTTGATCGTCCAAACAAATTTTTTAGCTAGCGGGTCTGCTGCTATTGGTATCAAGTCTTCACCTTTTAAATTTGATGAGTACGTTGTTTTAATTTTTTCGAAGATATCATTTTTAATCTTCCTATTAATTAAAATATTATCTATTAATTCGGCTTCTAATTTAAACCATCTATTCTTAATTGTATTCGTTCGGATTAATCTTTTCTTAATAAATCTTTTGTAAAACAACTCCTTATGAGTTAACAAATTTTTTACATCCAGAGTCAACATTTGATCCAAAAAAATTATATTCAACTTTTTGATCGAAACAAAATTCTCAAATAAACTGAATCCGTAATCACTTCTTTTAGCAGAACAATGCCGCCTTTAATTTCCATCCCATTGTCGCATAAATTATTTCTTATACTAAAACTATGATCTTTCATTAGCTTTATATTATCTAGTATGAACGAGTTAAACAACTGTTTCTTTTAATATTTTCTTAAAACTAATCGAAGTCAAAGCTATTAAGGGATTTTCGGCTAATAACAACAACTCTTGCAAGTTAAATAACCTAATTTTAGTGATCTTCCCCAATTCATTTTTGTCATTAAGTTCAAACACAAAATTTGTAATTTTGGCTTGTAATTGATTATCGTGAAAATTTTTTAAACGATAACTTTCTTTCATATGTATTATTTCATATGTATTATTGCGTGCTGTAAATCTGTAATGCCGGAATTTACCTAATGAATTATTAAGTGTGGGGCGCAGTATTATATTTAGAATAGATACTTAAAAATTTTTATTTTGTTTATATTTTTATTTTTAATGACGTTCTAGATGACGTAAAACTAGTGATTTTGAATTAAGAATTATTTAGAATGTTAGAGATTAGGACCAATAATTTTGTTTATTTATTTATTTGATTATAGATCACGGCGAATGTGATATAAATAAGGAAAGTGATTGTGACAAAGGAAATGTAGATTAGATAATACATTGAACTTTAGAATTGCGTAGTGATGATCATAGTAATTGTGACATTACAATAAGAATTTGATTTTAGAAAGTTTAACTCAATGAAAATTTACAAAGGAAAAAACCTACAAAGGACATTGAGAATACGTAATCGGAATGTTATTAATCCGATATATCCAAAAATAGTAATATTGGATACAGAACTACGTGGGAACTCAGAAAGTATTAAAAGAGTGAATTTTGGAATTAAAATAAGGAATAGTATTTTTAATAGCTTATGGGGAAATAATTGATAAATATTAATAAGTGGGAAAATTATAGATATTCTAATAATGAATTTGTCGTTTTGATATTATTTTTGTTAATGAAATGCAATGCGAGAATAAGAATAAATAGGGAGAATTATCGCAGTTTGAATGTTAAATTTAGAATTTTGAAATTATATTATTGAATTAGTACGAGTATTATTATTAAGTATGGGAAAACTATCGAAATTCAGAATTGTAAATTATGAATATTAAATATTTATTAATGAAGGAAGAATTTTGGATTGAGAAATAATATTTTTATTAATTTTTTTTTGTTTTAGTATTATTATATTTTATATTTATATGGACTTGGGATAGAAATTTTGTATTAATTATTTTTAAGAATAAATTGGGATTAACACTGTAATGACTCATTACAGTGTCCCAATTTATTCTTAAAAATAATCCGAAAGAATTAATAATTGTGTACGATATTTCACTTTTGGTATAACCAACATATTAAAAATGTACGACATCTTTTTATCGGTTAACCTTTCCCGTAAAATCATAGACTGACTGATGACGTGATCCTTCTTATTAAAAGCGTTAAACCAGACCCCAAGGATTCTTATCGAACTTTTTTTCATTGTTGGTTTTATTTTTAAATTCTCACTTCCGAATTTTATATTAACTTCGTTGTCACTTGGAAGTGTCTTCTTTTTCCTCAACAATAGTTCCGATTTTTCTTTATTAATCTTAATGTCGTTTAATAAATAGAACGAATCTGCGATTTCTAAGATCTTTACAGTCAGTTATGAAATTCGTATCGTCCATATATGCCAAACCTGGAACGTTAAAAGTTACGGGTTTACAAATGTTTTCATATATATTCATTTTTTGACATCCATCAACCTGATATCCTAAATTCGATCTTCTGATTTTTGATAACGATTAACGAGAGATCGTAATATATTATCCATAACAAGGGTGAAATGATCTCCCTACCAACGTGCACATCATACGGCTCCGTTAAGCCTCCTGGGGTAGATTCTATTATTTAGATGAAAATGGCTACTAAACTAAAATTAATTATTCAAATGCACTATGACCAAGAATATCCATAGTACATTAATAATAAGTAATTCAAGTTATCAATAGAGTTACAAGATCCTAATTTTAGGACCCAGAAATATATATAAAAGGGTCAGGTTTGAGTTTGCGTATTTTGAACAAAAATCATGAAAATCTTTCCTTTTTTAGATAATTTTTGATAATTTCAGTCAGAATTTTATTTCCTATTATAGTAACCGACTGACATTATCATAATTCCGGCCCTGAAAAAATGCGTACAGCTCATAGTAAAAAAATTTTTTCATCACCTGACCCCTATATATATATTTCTGGGTTCTCCAATTTTGATTCTATATTTATTATTCCATTACGTTGTAATTAAAAAATTATAAATAATTAACAAAATGATCGATAAAGTAATCTAACTTTACATAGTTGTAGGATACTTTTCCTTCAAAGAGGAACAAGAGAGTTCTGTTCACCTTCCCAGTAGTTGGCCTAACTATCAGTAACTTTATCTACAAGCTCGTCTACAGTGTGCTTTATTCTATTTTTATTGTTACGGCTCATCTATAAAAATTTTTTATCTAACGGATTATATAAATGAATTGTTATGAGAAAGAATTCCTTTCTGTCGTGATTTAGTTTTATTGAGAAATAAAATTTTTTGTCCTATTTAAAAAAAAATTTAGAATAAGAAATTAAATCTTGTAATTAAAATTCAAATTTAAAAAATTTTAAAATGTAATTTCACTGAAGTTATTAAATTTAGACCAAAATAGAAAAATTATGATTAGCGTTAAATTATTTGCCGAAAAGCAGATAATTACTAAATTCGTTTTATTTATAGTCACATGATAGTCACACGACGTCCCTATAAAAAAAATTCTGGAAAAAACTCGGATAAATGATCATTTTATTCTGAAGAAACTCAAACACGTGATCATTTTTTTGAAAAATTTTTTATAGGGCATTTGATAATACATAAAACGGATGAAAAACTCCTCTCCTAAATTTTTTTTTTTTTTTAAGTTACAAATTATTTTAAATTTTTTTAAACATTTTATAAGAAAATTATATTATGTCTGATATTCGATATGAATTAGTTAAAGCTGCAATCAATAGAGCAATTACATCAATAGATTTTAATATTTATGATGATATACATAAGATACATGAATTTAAAAAACAAATTATACTTGCTGATAAATCTCTTACAAGTGATGAAAAAACTTATGCAATAAAAGATTTGAATAAGACATATGACAAAAATAAAATCAAGTATAATTCAGGAACAAAAAGAGTTTGTGAAAATTGTAACAAAGAATGTTTAGCTACATTATATTGTGAATATTGTGTTCAAAATTATTTAAAAGCAAACTTTTCAAATTGGACATCTGGAAATAATGATATTGATAATTTAATACAAAAATGTCAAATAGAAACACTTAAACCAGATACTATAATTGAATGGATTCCATATAATAATTTACAAAATATTGAATATTTAACAAAAGGTGGATTTTCTGAAATTTATACAGCAGATTGGATTGATGGAGGATATGAAAATTGGGATTCTAAAGAACAAAAATTAATAAGATTTGGAGATCAATATGTAATACTTAAAGGATTAGAAAATGTTGAAAGTGCAAATCGAAGATGGTTTGAAGAGGTTTGTAATTTAATTTTATTTGATTATTACTCTCAGTTTTAGCTAAATAATAAATTATATATATATATATATTATATAGGCTGAATCACACTTAAAAATGAGCAATAAATGGTCACAAATCGTTCAATGTTATGGTTTAACACAAAATCCATCAAATGGAAATTATATGCTTATAATAAGCAGGATGGATACTGATTTAAGAAAATATTTACAACAAACTCAAAATCAACTTATATGGAAAGAAAGAATAAAAATTGCTTTTGATATAATTAGAGCGCTTAGTGTTATTCATGATGAAGATACAATTCATAGAGATCTGCATTCTGGAAATATATTATATTCAAATCTAAATCAAGTTTGGTATATTAGCGATTTTGGATTCTGTGGACCTGCAGATAAATCAACAGAAAGTATATATGGTAATCTTCCTTACATAGCACCAGAAGTTATTTCTGGAAAGAAAACTACATTGAAATCTGATATTTATAGTATTGGAATGTTAATGTGGGAAATTTCATCTGGACAACCTCCTTTTAGTTATTATGAAAATGATTATAATCTTGCATTGAATATAATTAATGGAATGAGACCAAAAGTAATATCAGGAACTCCTTTAAAATATGAAAATTTAATGAAACAATGTTGGGATGCTGATCCATCAAATAGACCTGATATTGGTATGCTTGGAGATGGAATTTATGAAATTCTGCAATTTTACCAAAGTATATCAAATGAAATATTTCAACAAGAATCAAATAATAATTTAGAAAAAAACAGATTAATAAACAACTCAATAATGTCAAAACATATAAATAGCAAATCATTTACAAGTAAAATTCATCAATTTAAAAATTTACCTGAACCAAGAAATGCAACAGAAGGTATAATTTTAATATCTAATATTTATTATTTTTCTTTTAAAATATTAATATTGTTTTAATTTTAAATAATAATAGAAGAGCAAGAAGGTAAAAATAACGGATGTGTATTAGAAATATGTGAAATATTTGATTATTTTTTCTAACTTTGAAAAAAAATCATTTTAATAGCATTTCATAGTAAATCATATGATTGCTTTAATATTCCTGATAATAGTAAGTATTTTTAAAATTAAATTATTATTATATGATGCAATTATTAATTATTATTTTACTTAGTTGATGATTTTAATAATTCAAATGATCAAAATTATGTTGACACATCTAAAGCAAGTAGTATTTTAAAAGGTACTAACTAATAAAATAAATATATAGTTAATTTAATTTCTTAATTTATTTATAATGATTATAATTATTAATTTATCTTTGAATGATTTTTAGATGATAGTGACAAATCATTTAATGACTTACAAATAATAAATTCAAATGAAGGTAAATAAATAATACTATTTTGATTACAAGTTTTGTTTCTTGAAAAATAATACTATATTCTACTTTTAATAGGTAATTATGGAATAGAAATAATGGAGCAACAACAAATAAAAAAGCATAATATAAAAAAACATAATATCGATATTGATGGTTTGTATCAGGTATAGTTAGTAGTAATTGATTATATAATAACATTATTTTTAATTCAATTTCCTCAATACAGACGAGGATGAAATCTATGATGATAAAAATTTTCATTCGGAGGAACAAGATGAATTAGAAATTACAGATGGCAAGTATTTCTCATATTACTAGTATATATGCTCTATTATATATTTGCAAGAAAAATATGTTTATTTATTTAACTAATTAATTTGTATTTTTATTGATTTATTTATTTGTTAGATGGATTTTAAATTATTTAATATCTGGCAGAATATGTTTTATTTACTTTTACTTTTTTCTTTATTTTGAATTATTTAAACACTAAAGTTTAGAGTAGGTAAAATTTTTTACAAGATTCTTAGTTTGTAATTTAAATAATTCATTATTATTATTATTATTATTATTACTTACTCATTAAATAGTAAATAATTTAACTTTTGTGATAATATACAGTAAAATCTTTGACCTAAGTACTGCAAATAAATTATTTTATGTATGGGAGTGAAAAGTTTAACACTATATTTAATGAATTTACAATAAAATAAGTCATGATAATAGGAGTCAATTAAGACTAAAATTTTCATATTTATGCAAAGTTGGTATGATTTGTTCATTGGATTTTTTCATTTGTTATATAAAGGTCCATTAAAAGAATGTAATAAAATTATCCCTTTCAATGCATCACCTATATTTTTGGCTCGAACAAAATTAATGATAGATCAAATTACAGGCTAAAATTACTAATTCAATCACATGATATTATCGCTAATGATCACGAATATTTGGTGTATTGAATGAAAATAATTTTAATGTCATATATACAAATTTTAATGATTATTTCAAATATTGAATCATTAACAAATTAAATGTATGAATTATTTAATGCTCATGTTAACAATTTTAAAAATTTAAATTACAATTTATTTTAATCATTTATCGTAATGAAATATGTAAATTTATTATAATTAATTATGACCCCAGACCTTTTTATTCATATATTAAAATCACACACATAATTATTGTAGGATTTACAAAAGCTAAATTAATAAAATTTACTATTTAACTATTTAAATGGGAATGTCAACTAACCTAACGTTAATCAAATTCACTATGGCCAAGAATATTCATACATTAATGATACGTAATTCAAAGTTATCAATAAAGTAACGGTACGAGGTCCAAATTTTGATTCTATATTTATTATTTCATCCGTCGTAATTAAAAAGTTATAAATGATCAACAATTGATCGATACTGTGATAAAATAATATCAGATAAGCTGGCTTTGCTATTAGTCAAATAGTTGTAAGATACTTTTCCTTCAAAGAGGCACGAGAGAGTTCTGTTTATTTGTGTAATTAAGAACGCCCGCAGTAGTTGACCTATACTATCAGTAACTTTATTTACAAGCTCGTCTACTATGTGCTTCATTCTATTTTATTGTTACGGCTCATCTATAAAAATTTTTTATCTAACGAATTATACAATTAAATTTTTATGAGAAAGAATTCCTTTCGGTCGTTCAAAATCTTTTTTTGTCTACCATATTATATCACGTGATTTAGTTTTATTGAGAAATAATTTTTTTGTCCTATTAAAAAAAAAATTTAGAATTAAGAAATTAAATCTTGTAATTAAAATTCAATTTTAAAAAATTTTTAAATGTGATTTTACTAAAGTTATTATTAAATTTTGACCAAAAATAGAAAAATTATGATTAGCGTTAAATTATTTTGCCGAAAAGCAGATTATTACTAAATTCGTTTTGTTCATTTTGCATTTATGGTCACATGATAGTCACACAACATTTTGGTAATACATAAAACGAATGAAAAAACTCCGCTCCAAGATTTTTTTTTAAGTCACAAAAATTATTTTAAAAATTTTTTTTTTTTCTCAATTTTAAACATTTTATAAGAAAATTATATTATGTCTGATATTCGAAAAGAATTAGTTCGGTCTGCAATTAATAGAGCAATTACATTAATAGATTATGATATTTATGATGATATTCATAAACGACATGAATTTAAAAAACAAATTATACTTGCTGATAATTCTCTTACAAATGATGAAAAAACTTATTCAATAAAAGATTTGAATAAGACGTATGACAGGAATAAAATTACGTATAATTCAGGAACAAGAAGAACTTGTGAAAATTGTAACCAAGAATGTTTAGCTACATTATATTGTGAATATTGTGTTCAAAATTATTTAAAAGCAAACTTTTCAAATTGGACATCTGGAAATAATGATATTGATAATTTAATACAAAAATGTCAAATTGAAACACTTAGACCAGATAAGATAATTGAATGGATTCCATATAATAATTTACAAAATATTGAATATTTAACAAAAGGTGGATTTTCTGAAATTTATACAGCAGATTGGATTGATGGAAAATATGAAGAATGGGATTCTAAAGAACAAAAATTAATAAGATTTGGAGGACAATATGTAATACTTAAAGGATTAGAAAATGTTGAAAATGCAAATCAAAGATGGATTGAAGAGGTTTGTAATTTAATGTTATTTTATTATTATTTTCAGTTTTAGTAAATAATAAAATTTTATTATGTATATAGGCTGAATCACACTTTAAAATAAGCAATAAATGGCCATCAATCATTTCATGTTATGGTTTAACACAAAATCCATCAAATAGAAATTATATGCTTGTAATAGATAAAGCAGATATAGATTTAAGAAAATATTTACAACAAACTCAAAATCAACTTACATGGAAAGAAAGAATAAAAGTTGCTCATGGTATAATTAGAGCACTAATAGCTATTCATCATGAGAATGCAGTTCATAGAGATTTACATTCTGGAAATATATTGTATTCAAAACTAGATCAAGATTGGTATATTAGTGATCTTGGATTTTGTGGACCTGCAAATAAATCAACAGAAAGTATATATGGTAATCTTCCTTACATAGCACCAGAAGTTATTTCTGGAAAGAAAACTACAGTGGAATCTGATATTTATAGTATTGGAATGTTAATGTGGGAAATTTCATCTGGACGACCTCCTTTTAATTATTATGAAAATGATTATAAACTTGCATTGAATATAATTAATGGAATGAGACCAAAAGTAATATCAGGAACTCCTTTGAAATATGAAAATTTAATGAAACAATGTTGGGATGCTGATCCATCAGAAAGACCTGATATTGATACACTTGTAAATGAATTTTATGCACTTCTGCAATATTATCAAAATATATCAAATGAAATACTTCAACAAGAAGCAAATAATGATTTAGAAAGAAACAAACTAATAAACAACACAATGTCAAAACATATAAGTAGCAAATTATTTACAAGTAAAATTCATCAATTTAAAAATTTACCTGAACCAAAAAATGCAACAGAAGGTATATTTTAATGTTTATTATATTTATTGATAATTAATAGTTTTTATTAAAAAATATTAATATTGTTTTTTATTTAAATAATAACAGAAGAACAAGAAGGTAAAAATAATGGATATGTATTAGAAATATGTGAAATATTTGATTATTTTTTCTAACTTTTTTTTTTAAAAAACCATTTTTAATAGCATTTCATAGTAAATCATATGATTGCTTTAATATTCCTGATAATAGTAAGTATTTTTTAAATTAAATTATTGTTGTATATGATGCGATTATTAATTGTTATTTTTCTTAGTTGAAGATTTTATCAATTCAAATGATCAAGACACATCTATAACAAGTAGTATTTTAAAAGGTACTAACTAATAAAAATTAAATATAGTTGCGTGCGAATATAGTTATTTTAATTTATCTGTAACTATAATTATTAATTTATCTTTGGATAATTTTTAGACGATAGTGAAGAATTATACAAATCATTTAATGAATTACAAATAAATTCAAATGATGGTAAAAAATGATACTATTTTGATTACAATTTTTTGTTTCTTGAAATGTAATATCATATTTTACTTTTTTATAGATAATTATGGAATGGAAATAATGGAACAACAAGAAGTAAAAAAACATAATAACGACATTGACGGTTTGTATAGTTAGTAATATTTGAATTATATTTATAATAATATTATTTTTAATTCCATTTTTTTTTCTTTACAGACGAGGATGAAATCTATGATGATAAAAATTTTCATTCGGAGGAACAAGATGAATTAGAAATTCCAGATGGTAAGTTATTTGAAATTTTTTTTTTAAAAAAAAAAAAAAAAAAAATTACGTAGTTAGTTACTAATTTATTATATTATATTTTTTTAGATGGATTTTAAATTTTTTATTTTATTAGATTATCTTTATTATTTAACATCAACAATAAATATTTATTTTATTTTATTTTTTATATTTAGAATTATTTAAACAACTAAGATTTAGAGTAGTAAATCTAAATGGTTTGCAAGACAGTACTTAGTTATGTAATTTAAATAATTCATTTTTTTTATATCAAATATATTTATGTATTCAATATACAGTATTATACTGTAACTTATTCAAATCACTGGCCGAAGTAGGAGGATGTGCAATACATTTACACTAGAGAAATTTTATATACACGTCACATTTCAAATTGATTTACCAGTAATTTCAATTAATTCCAATTAAAGTGTATATTAAGGAAATTTGTTGTAAACTTGTCCAATTTCCATGAAGTGTTTATGTCATTTGAAATTTACAAGTTTCTATTATATAAATGTATTTTAAATTGTGATAAAACCTTCTTTATATATCATTTAAACTTATAATACATTAAGCAGAAATTTTTTATGATATAAGAAATGTTAATGAAATTTCACTCATATTTGCAAATATGTAGCTAAAATATTAACAATAAATACAATAAATTATTATAAATTTTATATAAATTTTATGTATATTATAATGAAACTTCACTTCTATTTAAGAATCATAAACTTCGTAGCCACGCTCAATTAAGGCAATGTATTACTAGACCTACACTAAAGATGACTTTAGCAAGGCTTTCTTTGTGAATTAAAAGAAATTTCATACACTTTGCCAGCTGGTGAGAAAGCCTATGATCTCTAACCTCAAACTTCTTTTCTACAAGATCCCTAAACATTTGATTCAGAGACCTAGACCATCTAAAAAAGAGAAAATTGAAATGTTAGTAAAAACATTTCATTGAAATGCATAATTAGAAACAAATCTCACCAAGTTTTCACGTGTTTAAAAAGTCAAAAAACCAACCATCTGAAAAAAGAAAGATGATGAATATTAGTGATCATTCTTTGTTAAAAGAAAAATTAAAGAAAAAAATTGAACTTACGAAATCCATGTTCAAAAATATCTCTGGATACCAAAGAGCAAGTCATCTATAAAAGAAAAAAAAGTTAGTAATCATTTTTTAATGTCAAAGAAAAAAAATATCTTACCGAAATCAGCCTCCAAAGAGCTGAAGACTTATCCAAATAAGAACGAAAATGAAGTTGTTAGGTTAATATTATATTAAAAAAAAAAGTTTAAGAATATAAAAAAAAAGTACACCATAACCTACGTGTCTAAAGATCCTAATGAAGCCGTCTAAAAAACTGAATTCATTAAAAATAATTTAAAAATCACTTTCCCTTTTTTTAAATTAAAAAAAAGAACTTTAAAAAAAGAATTATCAGAAGTCCATGTGTCAAAAAAATCCACGTTAAAATGAGAGAAAAAACTTCATCTTCCATTAACAAAATTCTGCTTCAAAGATCCAAAGTACCATAAGGCTAAAAAATAAAAAAAGAAAAATTTCATTAATAAAATTCTTTTAAAATAGGTTTCTTAAAGTCAATTCTGAATTCAAATAGCTTACCAAATTCTGGAAATACAGAATCTATAAAGATTAAAAAAAGAAGCGTCAGACATTTCTTACAGATAAATGACGAATTCCTCTCAAAAGAAATAACTCACCATCCAAAAGTCTTCCACAGACAAGTCATTACCTACAAAAAAATAAAAAAAAAAGGAAATTTAATATGTTCCTCATAATTAATGGTGAAATTCTTTCCCAAAAATTTTACTTACTGTCCAAAAAGTCCCGTCAGAGAACATTACCTACCGAAAAATTGTAAAGTATAATTTTTACCTTTGTTTTCTTCAAGTCCAGCTATCATAGGCTTGGAAAACATTTTATGAAAAATAAAAAGAAAAAAAAAGAAAATTATAGTAAATAACGATAAAACAAAAAAAAAAATTCAAAAAATGATAAAAATAAAAAAGAAATCACCTAAGAGAGCACTATTTGCAAAAATGTTCAGTTCGTTCTCAGTTGAACCTCAACTTTGAGCCATTGGAGGCATTTGTTCATTTCCTTTAATTTTTGTCAGTTGTTCATACCAATAGCTCATTGATGTTATTGTTGTGAAAAAACAAATTAATGAAGGAGAAAGAAGGAAAGGAATTATGGGAAAGAACAAACTTTTTTTTTAAAGAAAGATTATCCGTCATTGAACTGCGCCTATCAGTTATTATATCATGTGATACACATGACATTAATTTTTATGTAGATAGTAAAATAGGAACTGATTCCATTTTAAGGATTGATATAACACATTAAACTATTTTAACTATTTTAACTATTTTTAATCACAAATAAACTATTTTTTTAATTTTCTTTACATTTTCTTTTATACTCTTCAAATTAATAAACTGCAATTATGGTTTTTGATGCTTGGTACATGTTCAACTTAACCATCACAAAATGACACAAATAGCAAATATAATAATATAACATTAATTATATTTCTCACAAACATTCTAGATTTTTTAATATAAATTGACTTGAGATTATTAGAGGTCATAAGCTTTCTCACCAGCTGGCAAAGTGTATGAAATTTCTTTTAATTTCACAAAGAAAGCCTTGCTAAAGTCATCTTTAGCAAAGGTCTAGTAATACATTGCCTTAATTGAGCGTGGCTACGAAGTTTATGATTATCTCTTTGCTTTTTTTTGTAATTTTGTAATGATATAAATTTTGTTTTAGTATAGCAAAATTTCAATAATAGTAAGTAAATGGCTTGTTGCAAATTTAATATCATATTTCAAGTAAATTTCAAGCTATTATATGCGTAATAAACATTGATATTAAATTTAATTAAAATTTATTTAGAATTTATACATTATAATTAGCGAATTAGTTTTAAAATCATAAAATTTACAATAAATTTTACCCGTTTCAATCTATAAATTAAATTTGATGGAGATTTCTTAAGCGTAATTTAGATCAACAAATTTATAAGCTATTTATGGGCAATAAACTTCATGCAAATCATCCCACTTCGACCAGTGAATATTAAACTTATAGCTTATCAATTTTATTGCTTCTATCATCAATGAATATGTGATTAAATTTTTCATTAAATATAAAACTCTATTTAGAAAATTTTTGATCGATACGATATGTGGCGCAGCAACTTAAAGGAATCGCAGTAAAAAAAATTATTAAATCATCCATATAAATTATCAAAAGTTGGGAGACTAGTACTATAACGTAATATATTATTGATTATCAATTTATAATATTAAACCACATCCCAGTACGGGTCGGGTAAAAGACATTTTTTTTTAAATCACACAGTGAACAAGTATTAAAAAGATCATTTTTTTTTATTTATTTATTTTTACGTCTATTTTTAGTTTGTTAAATTAAAACTTTATTTATATTATTAATTTAGGCCAAACTTTCATTTTTAATTTATTTTTAGTACGTGAATTTTATCTTTTTTAAAAAAAGAAAAAATATTTTATTAGTAATCAATAAATTCGAGTAAATATAAATCAAAATAGTTAATCCATTTAATTCTTATTAGGAGCGTGCTAATAAAGTTTTTTTCATTGAGAAATGCACTATATTCGAATTTTTTTTTTTTAAAAAAAAATCAATTCCGCCATGAAATGAAGTAATTGTACTACTACATCATACCATTTATAAATTAAATTGTACGATAAGTATAAAAACTAAATAGCTAATATCAAAAAAACATAGAAAAATATTATTTTTACTAACTGATAAAATTAGCATCGATATCAACAGCATCATTGTCATATAATGTAATCACTATTTTACTGTATTAGCCAAGTAGTATACTTCTTTTATATAATATATTCATATTTATTAATATTGCTTCTGCAAAAATTTATACCGTGCTGTTCTTATTTCAAACTTGGTAAAATATTCTTATGAAATTAAAACAAATTATTATTATATTTCATACTCATTTAAATAGTTTAGTTACATGATAAGTTACCTTTATTATTTCCAATACAATTTTTATTTAATAAACATTTAACAAAACGGGAAGCTTCTGACTAATAATTAATAATATACTTTATACAAATCGCAAATCAAAGTACATTATTTTTATGGTTATCTATTTTTATTAAATAAATTGTTTATTTATTTTATTAATTAAATTAAATCAGATAATACCGTAATTAGTTAATTTCCAGTAAGGTGAGTGGTAATAATTAAATTAGAATGGAAGTAAATATTTATTATATTGATTAGTCATTAATAATTTTATTATTTAATGGTAAGAGTCAGTGCTTATTATGGCACCGCAGCAGTAAGCGCATTTCCCGATCTATTGGTTCCTGATCCTAAATGATGAAAGAAAATTTTTTTAAAAAAATGGTAATAAAATAGAAAAAATTATTTTGAGTTCCCGATCAAAAGGACAAAAAAAAAAAAAAAAAAAAAAAAAATCTAAAATAATCAAATGGGAGATCAGTAGTACTACAATAAAAGCACCATTTGATCCATGAGTTTCTGATCCTAGAGGACGAAGAGAAAAATTAAAAAAAATATCAGTAAAATTAAGTAGAGAAATTAAAAAAAAAATTCCGAAATAAAGTAAATTAGTGCTTACTGTTTCATCAAAGTATTTCGCTGAATCCAATCCAAGATATATTAAATATATCGGCCAAAATGAAACAAATCAGCGCTTTCCGTTTCACTGACTAAAATGAACAGAATGAACTTTACCTTACTGTGACCTTAAATCTACAACTGAACGTTAATATTAGTATCTCGTTGTTTTGAATCATATAGAGAATAAATAATCATTCTAGTGATTTTTATCCAAATCATATAAAATTGCGTTGTGACATAAACGGAATTAGTTTTTAATTCAATAATTTCTTTTTTTTGATTCATTAATGGTAACTTTGTTGTGTTAAATGTATTTTTTGTGTTTTCTTGTTAAATGGCTGTAAGTTGTGATTTATGATCATAAATCTCCTTTTAGGAAAATCTACTTTGATATTTTATTTTTGGGAATTATAATCGAAGTTGGTTGATATTTACCAAATATAATTCAGAAATATGAGCAGAACTTCTTTAGCTAATAATTTATTTTTAAATCATTAAATGTTCTTTTTAATCGATTCTTAAAAATTGTATTTTGCTCGTTTGAAAAATAATCATTTTGAATAAGAGATATCAAAAAACTTTTCTAAAATTAAAGAAAACTTTGGGTTGATTTGAATATTATAACCGGCTTTTTGAATATTAAATCAGTACAATATTTTTTTTGAAATTCCAAGAAAGAATCATTTTTGAAACTTGACTGATATATTAAATCAAAAAAATTTTTTCCATCCATTTTTGTATTAGTAATTAGCGGTACTTAAAAATTTTAATTATATCTGGAATATCATATTTCTTCAAAGAAATTCTTCCTCATAAATAAATATACTTAGGAAAATTATATTATTATATTTTAAAATAAAAACAGAAACAAAAACAAAATAATGAACTATTTATCGTCTAATCTAATTTCTTAATACCTTAAAATTATTTGAAAAATTTCTGATGATGCGTTTGATAATTTTAACATGTGCTAAATATTGTTATACATTAGAGGTTATTACCAACTTCAATAATAATATCACAATATTCTTTATCATTTAGAATAATCATTATAATTGGATTTTAAAATTTTAAAATTGAAAGAGTTGAAAAGGAATTACAAAATAAACCACTTTATTATTTGTAAATCAGGCTGTTAATTAGATCGTTCCCATATTGGAGGTTTTATTCTAAACAATTGAATGTAATTAAAAGCCTATAAACTGCAATTAAATAATTTAAAAAAATTCTTTAATAATAAAAGGAAACGAAAAGAATAAATTACTATCCAATTTTTTTTTTTTTTAAACACAATTAGTGGTTGAACAATGTTAAAGAAAATATATTAACATTAATCAAAAAAAAAAGGACGTGAGAAAAATCATGTCAATAAACCTGGAAATAAATCTAAGGGAAATAAACAAAATAAAGTTAAAAAGAATAGACAAAAAAGGAAAAGAAAGAAAACAGATGATTTCCTATCCCACATTTTTCAGCAAATATATATATATATATCAGATATTATATAAATATTGTTTAATTAGGCGAGTGGTAGGTTACATTTCATTTTATTTCGATACGAAAGGCTAACGTTGTTAACATTAATGTAACGTTACGTTAACATTTACATTAGAGGTTGGAACCGACCAAAAAAACCTTAATCGATTAATAATCGATTAATATTAAAATATTAAAAAATTTTTTTTTTTGACCGCAGATTGCACCAAATTGTTTTTGATCATACATTTAGTTATAGGAAAGTCTTATTTATTATTATTATCATTAAAAAATTAATACAAATTCTTCCAAGTTCGGAGAACATGTGACCAAAAATTCACAGCTCTGGGCCGCATTAGATAATTTGACCAGAATTATGGGTTGATAATTTTAATCGATTAACCGATTTTTGAAATACTTTAATCGATTAACCGTCTTAGTCGATTAATTAATCGATTAACCTTAATCGATTCCAAACTCTAATTTACATAAGATTAGTTTGATTAGTTTCAAACATTTTCCTTTTTAACATACCCTAACCCAATCTAGTATCGACTTACTGATTTGAATTTCATCCTTTCCCTTTTAAATCCAAACCTTCCCATTTTTATACAACAAATCAAGTAATCTTTTATTGGTGTAACTAAACTTTTTTCGTTGATATTATAAAAAAAAAATCTGATCAAAATTTCATTAAATTACCAATATTATTTTTTATTAGAGCTTATAAAATATATTGGAGTTTTAATTGTAGGCATTTTCAATGAAAATGGTTATAAAGGAATCATTTGCTCTACGTTTTCTCATGTTTTTACTTTCGATTAATTTTATTTTTTTATTTTCAATATGAGTGTCGCAACAGAAGGTGTAGAAGAAATGTTATTTGAAGGGGCTCAAGAAACAAGGCAAGCCTCCAAAATTATTCGGGTAAATTATATTTAATATCTTCTACGAAGAAAAAATAACAGGGAGTATGGTTAACGTGTAACGACTACAATAGATCTGCGCAAAAATTGATGAATTATTGGAGCAAGTGCAAAAAGATGATGTCGTTGAGATCAACCTTCCTGATGAACTAGGTATGAACGAAGCTGATGCACATGTACTTGAAGCGATACACTCGATATATATCGCTGACAGAATCGGAAATAAGTTACTTTTTAAAGTAAGTCTAATTATAATCTACACGTCTATATATCATTTATTGATCTTAGGAATTTTATAATTTAGTACGATGGGGTAGTAAAAAAACTATTTATCGCAGAAAGCAATATAACGTGTTGTGTTGGACGTACAGAACTTCAACCTGACGTTGGTATTTGGATTATACCACCAACCCAGGCGCAATGCATAAATCCAATTGTTAATCGATGTCCACCTCCGGATGTGTGGATTGAGGTAACTGTATTAAATCTCTATTAAGGAAAACGCAAATGATTTTGACTTATCAGATCTGAGTTCTTGTAGGTATTTTTTGATAGGGACCCAGATCGGAGCAACGCGATAAATAGAATTAATCATTGTAAGCGATTCCGGAATGGGATTGAATATGTCGGAATTGCTATACCTGAAACCACTCGTCAGAACTCAAACCCTGCGCAAGCTTCAACTGCTGTAGTTCGACAAAACAACCGACCTAACCAACCTCCATGTGGTATTTATTGGGAAATCCACCAGTTTATTTACATATACCTGGAACAACCATCTTGTCCTTACGTGTGGTTGGACACTTGATTTTAATATTGTGCTTAATGTAATTCCTTAATGATAGATACTATCTAAAACTTTTGCATATTATCATCTATCTAATCTATCTAATTAAAAAAAATTGTCATATTTAGATTACCCTGTATAAATAATTTGAATTGTGTAACATTGAAAAGTGTGCGTTCGATCTATTTCGTAATTATCATATCATAATTATATCATAATTAACTGACTACGATAACAAATCTTTAAACTAATACATTTACAGTTAATTAAAATTTTAACTGGATTTTTTTTTTTATTCTGATGGATTAATACTAACAAAAAAAAGTATAATTTCTCTAATGCATTTATTTGTGGTCATTTCCGCTCTCTCGAAACATTTCTATAATAATAGTTTTTACCAAAAAACTGAAACTACCTTTTTAGTCTTTTTTATTAATTTTTTATCCCTCTTTTTATCATTATTGTTTCTTTTGGTTAACTTAACCAAAATTTTTTTATTCTTATTGGATTTTTTTAGGGGATTTTTTTTATAATAATCGGAATTTATCAAAATTTTGGATTTTTTTTTTTAACCCAAAAAATAGGTTATTCTTTTTTTGGTTTGGGTCAAAACTATAGAACTATGTCCTATGGCTTTTTGTGAGATTTTTTTTAGTCAGTGATATTGTTTCTGACTAATAAATTCGTGTGAAAATTTTTTTTTTAGTGAGAATTTTTTTGATTTAGTGAGAACTTTTTTTGTTTGATTTTTTCAATATTATTTCCGACTAATAAATTTGTGAAATTTTTTTTTGATATTAACGAATTTTTTTTGTAAGATTGTTTTTAATTATATAGATATTTTGTAATTAAATCAATAAATTTTTTGATAAATCTATATAACTAAAAAACTATATAACTAAAAAAATTTGTCAGACATTTGGATTAGTCTCTGTATACTAAATAATTTGAATTGTGTAACTTGAAATTTATGCCATATAATGAAAACCCGTGACATGCCTCCACCTGATCTATTTATCCATGTACATTCCAATCCAATCAACCAATACAATTTCATTTTACCTTAATCGGATGATTAATAATTTTTAAATTTTTTCGTTCAAACTGAAAAAAAATTTTTCTTCCTTTCTTCTTTCGGTTTAGTTTTTTTTTTCAAACCGAAAAATTTGTTTTTTTTCATTATTTTCCCGTTTTCCCCCTCAAGACTAAAATGGTGTGATTTCAGGATGTAATTTCGCTAATCATTTTAGAGAAGTGGAGAACTATTGCTTCGGTAGGAAGAAATTCTCGTTAGAGCGTAAATGCAGAAAAAAAATATCCATGCAATGATTACTTCGGCCAAGTATCTTTCTGCGCATTTCAGGTGATCGATTTAACAAGCCTTTTTGAAAACATAATTTTATCATAGGCCACATGCAAGTAACGAATTCAGGTACTAGCCACATGATGTTAAGTCGTTGTCCACGTAAAGACTAATCAAGATTAAAGTATTTTCGATCAATACACTCTTTGAATTTATGTCTTCTGAGGAATCGTGATTTATGGATTCTCATTATACCATACTTCAACTAATGCATTATTTCAGTAATTCATGCTCGACATTCTCAGCGTCACGCCTTGCATTCTCCTCAATAAAATGGTTCAATTTTGCATCCTCAGCCTTGCTTTCAGCAACCTTCTTTCTAAGTTCAGGAATCTCGGCATTCCTGGCCTCAAGCTCAGATTACTTTTAGCGTTCTTAGCCTCAAATTCAGCGAGCTTCCTTCTAAGATCAGTATTTCTCATCTTTAAGCTCAGCATTCTTGTTCTTAATCTCAGAAAACTTCTCCCTTACTAGTTCGCAAATCTCAGCAAAGAGTTTGGCATTTAATTCCTTTAATGCATCTCTGGATTGAGTGTTTGACATAATTAATAAAATTTATACAAGAATGTGAATTATTCAATGTTATGTTGCGAACGTAAAGACAAGCTTTATTAATACAGATAAAAATAAATAAGAGCAGTACGAAGTAAAATAAATATAAAGAATCGGGACTTTACCCGTAATACATGACGAATTTTCTATGTTAAGAACTATCTACAGTATCTGATTTTTCCGCAATCTTGCTCAATGACTTTACCCTTCTCGATTCTTCCCCACTTTGTGAATCGTCAACCGGCTTCTGTGCCTCCTCCAATAACCATACAATATACCCGAGGACCTTTTCCACCTTTGATTGTAAATTTTCATCTTTATATACTACGATCACTGGTTCTGACAGCTTAATTGATGGTCTCCGATCACTACTATCTAGTCTGCACTCCATAAAGTACCATTTTTCAGCATCTGTTACAATCCCCATACTTTATCAAAACCAGAAATTTTGAATCAAGCTCTTCGTAACGATAATCCAGATGATCCAGGTGATCCAGGTATTAAAGCGTTCCAGAGGTTGCTTATCCACACAGTGGAAGAACGTGATTACTCAGCGCAAAAACTTGCCACCTTCTACTTCAACAGCCACTTTATCACTGTAGTAGAAATTTTGTTTGTTTAAATCTTAATAAAGAGACAAATCAGTGGCTTCACGACAGTGAACATAACACAAATAATTAAACAATGAAACTAAAAAAACAGATCTCTCACTTCTGAAAAGATATTGTAGTTGACCTACTAAACTAAGTGACTTGTCATTGTTTGGATTTACCTGCAATAAAGTTAGTCAAAGGAAATCCGTAAAATGCAGTAAAGAAAACGTAGTACGTCTGCTCTGACCATCCCCAATCAAAAATGGTCCTCAGTAGGAAGACTTTTGTCATACAAAAGTTCTCTTACTACATGTTTGCTATAGAGATATCCTTAGCCTTACAGAGAATGACACTTTCGTAGATAGACTTATATAACCGGCATTTTTCAGGAATCAACAATGATTCTAGTAATTTAGTTGAACCTGCCGTGGATAATCTTGAGGAAATGGATGGTAACAATTCAGATGATAATGCCGACGACATTGTACAAGAAGAGAATGAACCTCGAGCTGATTGGATGGTACTGTGCCAAATAGACGAAACAACAATTTTACCGATTCTTTAGGTTGCTACAACAGGCGTTGCAGCCTTTAATATTCAAGGTAGCACTATACATTCGGAGCTTTCCATTCCAATATTATGCGGCACAAAATATAAAATTGAAGGTGAATCTTTGAAAAAATTACAAAATATAATGAAGAATATTAAATATTTTATCATCGATGAAATAAGCATGGTAGGTCGTCACTTTCTTGCTCTAGTTGATCTGAGATCGCGTCAAGCATTTCTAGAACATTCCAATCATCATTTGGTGGACGAATCTATAATCCTTATCGTGACTTTGGACAGCTACCTCCGGTGTGTGATATTCCATGTATTCTCAAGATCATCAACCATAAGATTCTTTATCCGAGGATTACGTAATGTCTATCGTCAATTTCAAGAAGTTTATAGACTTGAAGCTATACAACGACAAACTGGTAGCTCGGATGAACAATGCCAATTTAGGAATTTTTTGTGATTGGGAATTGTTAATGACGCAAATCCCAGAAAATTGCCAGAATCAGAGAGAAAAAAATTTTTAACATTCTTACAACATGGGAAGAAGTTGATAGAATTAATGCTGACAAACTTTGGTCATTAAACCAACCTATCGCTAAGATTGGAGCAGTTCATACGGGTGGCTCTGGCTTCGAAGGCTGATTCAGATACAGCAAATGGTCTTGAATCTGAAATATTATTAGCCAGAAACGCTCGTATTATGCTCACTGCAAATCTCTGGGTTTCCACTGGCTTTGTAAATGGTGCTACGGGAACAATAACGGATATATTATACAAAGAGGAATCTGGGCACAAATCATTACCTACTGCCATTCTAGTTTCCTTTGACCAGTATCGTGGCCAAACTCTTACAAACTTGGATGGAATTTCGGATGTACCTAATGTTCCTATACGAAGTATGTGGGAAGGAAAGTCTGGCATATGCTCCCGCCTACAATTTCCATTTTCTCTCACGTGGGCCATTAAAGTTCACAAATTGCAAGATTTAACTTTATCTAAGGTGGTTACAGATCTTGGCAAGAGGGAATTTGCTGCTGGTTTGCTGGTTTATCATTTGTAGCAATATCCCATGTTCGTTCTTTCAAGGATATTGTTTTCAAGCATTTTGTTTTTAACAGACTTGAGCGTATAAAAAACTGTAAAAGGCTAAAAGAACAAATAGTGGAAGAAAAAAGCTAGCTGAAATGGAAACCACGGTGCAAAAATAAAGGTTTTTTTTTAGATAAAATAAAAGTTTTTTGTATTACAAGTGTTGTAATCGTATTTATTTGGTATATTACAGGGGCATATAAGTTAATCGTGAATCGTGATACAAATTATAAAAAAAGAAAAAAAATTGACGATTGTGACAGGGGTTAACCAGCTAATTCAGTATAGTAAATCCTTAACACAAAATGATCGATACTGTAATAAAATAATAAGACAAGTTAGTTTTGCTGCTAGTCACATAGTTGTAAGATACTTTTCCTTCAAAGAGGCACAAGAAAATTCTGTTTATCTGTGTAATTAAGAACATCTCTCCTGTACTAGTTGACCTATACTATCAGTAACTTTACAAGCTCGTCTATAGTGTCCTTTATTCATCTATAAAAAATTTTTTATCTTACGGCTCATCTATAAAAATTTATCTAACGTCAAAATCTAGTATGGTATTTGTTTGTCATATTCATTATATCACGTGATTTAGTTTTTATTGAGAAATAAATTTTTGTCCTATTTAAAAAAAAAAAATTTAGAGGGCTTATTTTGGAAACTCTTTCTCCTTTCCGTCTGGAATTTTATATTCCGCAGTAATATTATAAAGATTAACCCTTAAAAAACCTTTATATGCTAAAGAGCGTACATAGGTGAGCCCTTTCTGGGCTCGGCGGAAAGGCGAGGTTTGATACCTTACCAGACTACACTCTTTTACACCCTTATGAACGAAAAATATTCGGACTTCAACCTTATTTTCAACCCTCCCAACTACGAAAAGATTCTTTTCGGCTTTAGAGAAGAGCGTCTTTTACACAACAAATTTTTTATCTTTCAACTAAGGTTCTCCATCCCAGAAAATATTCTTAAAAAGAAGATAACTTCTTTACACCAAGTCTCTTTACACCACTTGGAACTTTGGATAGAAGACTCTTTCGTCCAAACTGACGACCACTCTTGCTTCGAAATTCTTGGCGTTGGCATGGTCTCGTGCTCAGCAAGACAATTTTCCTTTTTTGGATACATGCAACGTGTATTTTAATTACAAAGAAATCCAAACTACACCAATTAAAACTCACGCTACACTAACCAAAATTTTCCTTATCGGGATTAACCTTCACGTTGACAAGAATCTTCCAGATATTTGGGCAAGACAGTCACGTGATATAGATAAAATTTTTTCTAAGGATGATATATATTCCTTATGGCGTTGGTTATTATTTCATGACACTTCTGGTTTAAATAAAGGCTCAGGAGTTACCATCATGATTACTGACAAAATAGCAAAAGATTTACAACATACAGAATTTGTCGAAGGACGTATCATCAATCTCATCTTCGGTTTTAAGAAATCAAATCAACTGAACGTGACTTGCTGCTACTTACCACCTAGCCCTAAGATAGATATTACCAAATTTAAAATCAGCGCTATTTGCGTCAATAGATTTATTTTTTTATTTTTTTTTCTCATTTGTTTTTTTTGTTTTTATATAGATATACAATTGTTCTTAAACATATGTCTTTGACATTAGATAGTTTATTTTTATTTTTTTACGTTTCCACTAGTGCTATTAGGCGGGTGTTCTTGGGAAAGTTCTTGGATCTGACTCGTGTTCACCTATATCCATAGAGGACAGAATTCGTCACGCTTCGGGGTGGCTTGACGTGTAGTGATAGAATTACATATAGACTCATTTTTATGCTGTCAGCGTAATTGAATCTACCGTTTCGCTTTTCTGTTTTTTAAAAATTAAAAATAAAAATAAAATAGTTTTTTTTAGTGCCAAAAATTTATTTGTCACCCCATGACACAAAAAACCACGCCCACAAAACTTGGGTGCGACTTCACAGTCAAATGATATTTCTAGTGTTTCTTGACCACTATTTTGAAGTTTCTCACACGCTGCTTACAAAGTATTTTCAACACTAATATTTGCTGCCTGCCATAAAACCTTGAAAAATTCTTCCTGTTTATTAAAATATTGCTGAGGTCCACTTTGTCTTGTAATTCCTAACAATGTTAACATAGATCGCAATTCTTCTCTATTAACACCTCAAACCAAAGCAGTATCTGCAAAATATTTGGAAAAATCATCTTCTGGTCTTTCGTTATGATATTCAATTTCATTATAACACAATAAGCATTTACTTGTAACGCAAACTCCGATTTAAAGTTTCAATATTGTTAGTTAAAAGATATTTCTCTCAATTATTATTATATTGAAATACTATTTATTCAGAAATGATTAAAAACAGAATACTATGAAAATCCAAATTTCAAAATATAGCGTCTAGATTACTATATTGTATAGTAAATTTGTTAAGAAATAAGCCAGGCTGTTTATTCCTGAGTTTGACGAAATGAAAGTATAAACTGACTGAGCTACAGCAAATAATGAGCAATTGGAAAGTCCAATGAGCACCATGCGGCTAAAACCTTTGTTTAATAAAACTTTTTGTAAAAAAATATGTAACTAAAATAGTAATTTGAGACGAGTATAAGTAGCTTTTAAGCAAATATATGTAACAATGCCACCCTTAATATTGTTCAAGTTTTAATCAAGTGATAAGATCCAAGTCATCTAAATTATAAAGGTTAGAATTTCTAGATAGATCTTATAAATTCAACATACTTTACTAATATTATTTAATGATTATTATTGAACTCAAATACAATATTACTGGTATCTACTCTATATTCTAAATTGTAAAGACGAAAAATCAAAGATATTTCACTAGTTACTTGTAATAGTAAAATGAGCACATGAGTGATACATGTCGATAATTGAAAATTCTTAGAAAATGATCCAATTTTATAAACATAAAAATTTATTTATTTTAAAATGAAGATGAAAATAAAAGTAATTTAATGATTGATTTTCGACGTAAACAATCTTATTTTTTAAGGGTTGATTATTTAACCGCTTTGGTTAATTAACTGAGTTACTCATTTTTCGAAGAAATTCATTAAATTTTTTGAAAAGAACTGAATAAAATCCAAACTGTTTCTAATTTTTTTTATGAAAATATTAATAATATATTATTATTAACTATTATTGAATAATTATTAATTTATTATCATGATATATTATGATAGAGAATGTCAAAATTTCACCAGTGGTGATTGCGATTTTCACCATTCCGATTTTTTAAATTTTATAAGATTAATATTATATTAAATAATTAATTTAATTAATTACACATATTAAACAGTATCCTATATGTAAATTTACGAGATTTGTCTAAGGTCAAAAAGGCTGTTTTTCAGATAATTTTTGAGAAAACATAAAAATTTTGATATTTTAATTTTTTCACTTTATTTTAATTTTTTTTTTTTTTTTTTTTTTT